TTTTCCCCATTTGATTGATGAGGAAGCTGAGATTCTGGGAGGCTCTCCCCCTAACAGCACACTTGGGGATGTAAGTCAGGCACCTGTGCTTCCCTGAAAGGAGACCATAGTTTAGTGGGGCCATGGGACAGAAACAAGAATGCAGGTAGAAGGAGATAAAATATGAAAATTCAGAGAAAGAATGGTTAGCAAAGTTAATTTTATGAGGAGGAGGGAATCTGGGAAGGCTTTTTGGAAGAGGTGGCCCTGGTCCATCTTGGAGCTGATAAAGTTGTAGTTTCCTTTGAGGGTCTAGATGGAGAGCAAATGACCATGGCCTTGCAGCTGTGCTCTAATTAGTTTCTTTTATTGGGTTTTCATAGTTTTATAACCCAGGCTGTGTAACTTCCTTTGCATTATCATCTCAGCACATTTGTAATAAATTCTGCTTTTCTTTTGCGTTCTGGATGCTTATTAAAAATGTGGTTTGTGTTTGAATTTTTCAAATAAGTGATTATTTTGACTCCCCTAGAATTAAATTTCAGTAAGCTTTTTTTCCACAGGGAAGATAAACCAATATGACATGTGAATTATCATATAGTTCATTTTTATAGAGGTGGGTAATTTTTTTAGCTACAACTATCTAATTAGCTAAAAATAAACATCTGTACTGTTATGACTGTGTTATTAAATCAAGGAATATGAAGAAAGTTTCAAGGACAATGGATTTATTTCTGGAACAAGAGGCAGTAAGGAATAAAGCCATGACTGGCAGTTGGATAAAGAGCTAAACTCTGTTGGGATGTGCTGGCTTTTTTCTTTTCCTACAACATCTGTCTTAGGTTCTTTTTTATAATACCTACTTCCATAATGCATCTCGTTCCTTAAGAAAGTCATGTGAAGATATGGAGAATCTTTATTATTGATAAGATTTGAGAAAGTTGGTTTAAGTGGTAGTCTTTATTAAAATATGTAATTTTTAGTAAAATGCATTTTAGGGCTTCCCTGGTGGCACAGTGGTTGAGAGTCCACCTGCCGATGCAGGGGATATGGGTTCGTGCCCCAGTCCAGGAAGATCCCACATGCCCCAGAGCGGCTGGGCCCGTGAGCCATGGCTGCTGAGACTGCGCGTCTGGAGCCTGTGCTCCTCAACGGGAGAGGCCACAACAGTGAGAGGCCCGCGAACCGCAAGAAAAATAAAATGCATTTTATTATTTTAAAACGCCATGCACCTTTAAAACAGATATGTGTAAAGAAATACAATAATATTTGTCTTTTAAACTATCCACTAAAATTTTAAATGCACATATTCTTTGACCTACACATCTGGTAATCTGTCCTACATATATACTGACAAGTGCACAGAAATATATGAAAGAATGTTTGTTGCAATAACCTAAATGTCCATTTGTACAGGATTAAGTGAATTGTGGTTCACCCCTGTGGTAGAATATTCTGCCACAATTGAAAGAATGAGGTTGATGTTAAGGTTACCTTAAGGAAAAAACTCAAGTGGCAGAACAGTATGGGTAGTGTAAACTCATTTATGCACTGAAAAGGATATATGTATATTTATGTATATACACATTTCCTTAAATATGCATAGACAACTCCTGATGAGGTACACAAAATCTGTCAAAAATGCTTACCTTTTAGGAAGCAACTGCAGCCTGGACAATGTGTAGGAAGGGGATATTTTCACTCTTTACCATGTACCACCTGAATTCTTAGGAATTTTGCCATAAGCATTTATTATTTTAAAAATAATGTGTGGGGCTTCCCTGGTGGCGCAGTGGTTGAGAGCCAAAAAAAAAAAAAAGTGTGAAAATACTTTTTTAAAAGCAAAAACCTATTAAATTTATTTTGTCTATTTATTTTAATAATTTAACTATAGATTTATATAAATTAAAGAAGCCCTTTAACATTAAGGCCTCTATTCTGGACTAAGAAATATTTCCAGGCATGTCAAAGGAAAAAAAACAATCTACTTTAGCTCAAAGTTGAAATAATTGTTGATTTATGGTGAATAATTCCTGGAAAAAAAAGTTACAACACAAAAATTAATTTCCACCATTATTTAGAAGAATTACATATAATGCCAGTTGAGACCCTCAAGATTTGAATTACAATAGTCTAAATTGAGGAGATTTCTCCCCCTGGTGTTTATGCTTCTCTTGAAGTGTCATGGAAACATTTGATAATGATTCAACCATATTGAGCTCTTCACTTCATTTGCAGTGTTAGGCTTTTGTGCAGATGGATCATGATCATACGCTGTTTTAGGATTGACTCCTATTTATCAGAATCAGAAATTAGTGAAAGATTGTTTTCTATTATCTCATCATCTATTTAGCCCCTATATAATGGATTATTTCAAAACATGAATTCTTTGTCCTTTTTTATGATTTAACATAACATGTTTCCAAAGTTTTTTTTTTTTTTTTTTTTTTTTTTTGCCGTATGCGGGCCTCTCACTGTTGTGGCCTCTCCCGTTGCAGAGCACAGGCTCTGGACGCGCAGGCTCAGCGGCCATGGCTCACGGGCCCAGCTGCTCCGCGGCATGTGGGATCCTCCCGGACCGGGGCACAAACCCGCGTCCCCTGCATCGGCAGGCGGACTCTCAACCACTGCGCCACCAGGGAAGCCCCCAAAGTTGGTATTTTAAAGAAAACTTTAATAATTTATAAAACATGTTTTATATGCCTTTACCTCTGATGTATTTTCCCCACATACAATGACTTGTCAGCTTCCATTGTTCCCTAACCTGATACCGCAATTCTTGTGATTATCTTCCTGGTTTCTGCTTCTCTTTGTTTCTACTATCTTTCTACCTAGTCTTCACTGTGAGTTTTAGACCTCTGAGAGAGATCTGATTGGGTTATATAGTCTGTGTCCAATTTAAAGAAATGCTGCTCTGTCTTTCCAGGTCACCCCATTGACTTTTGGCTTTTGTGTCTGGCCAATCAAATGCTAGAGTTTTGATTGGTCCAATCAAATGTGTTCAGGAAATCAAGGTCATTGAAGCATAGTAACCTCTCCTCCACTAATCTTTTAGATAGTTCACCAATCCAACAGCCCAACAGAGGGAATTTTAAGTTCTGTTAAATTTAAAACCCAGCTTTACTCCAAAAATTAAAAACAAACAAAAACAGCCTAGGGGAAGCTTGCATTGCATAACTCACAGGTTCTAGGTCCAACTCATAAGTAATATAGGGGGAAGGACACAGGCCTTGCATTCACACATTCACACAAAGTTTGCATCCCTACTTGGCAACTTCCCAGGTGGACAGCCTTGATTCTCAGAGATTGTGACCTCCTATGTGAAATAGAGACGACAATATTTCTTTGTAGAAGCGATGTGAGGATTTAAGGAGACTGTGTGTGTAAACTGAGTAGGACAATAAGAGACACACAGTAATCATAATGGTAGCAAACATTTATTGAGTGTGTACCAAGTGCCATGCATTATTCTAAGCCCTTTATGCATGTTAGCTCTTTAATCCTCTGAACAATCCTATGAGATTATTACACAGGGAGGCTGTGTGATTTGCTTGAGATTACATGGCTAGTAAGTGAAGGAGCTAATAGCTCACACTGTTAACATCCAAACCAACCCTACCCCGGAAGTCAGGGACTGGCTTTGTTTCTCCCCTTAAGTCTATGGCCTTCTGGGTTCCATTGCCTGTCAGAATTACATGTGAAATACCTCCCTATCTTATCCTCCATCCGATCCAACCCCAGTCCTCAGTTCATGATTCTCAGTGACTCCCTTGGGAATTTGGAGGTGTCAGAGCGTCAGGGCTTGTGCTGCGAGCCATTTTGCCTGCTCTCTGCTCCCTCAGCAAAGCTGAGCTTCACCCTGTCCTGTAGGATTATCTCATGAGGAGCAGCAGGCTCAGGCCAGGCTGCCTTCCTTGGAATCGCAGTGAAGAAAATGTCTTCAACCTTGTTCCATCGTTATGTCTTCCTGTTCTCTCCCCTGCCCTTGTCAAGCACTGAGTATTTTAAATGGGGTTAGTCCTTAAGCCAGACTGTGAAGTAGGTAACATTTGCCCCTTTAAACCACCCATTCCTTCAGTTCTTCCTACATTGCTCTTTCACATATCGGTGAGTCAGTTGAATTAAAAGCTTTCAGCTTCTGAGGAAATGGGAGATTAGTGGGGGAATGGGAAAGGTCATTTAGACCCGTGCTTCTTAAACTTAAATGTGCGTATGAATCACCTATGTACCTTGTTAAAATGCTGATTCTGATCCAGTAGGTCGGGGGTGGGCCCTGGGATTCTGCATTTCTGACGTGCTTCTGGTGATGCCAGCGCTGCTGTTTTCTAGACCACAGTCTGAGTAGCAAGCATCTAAAGACTGGGGTACCACCTTGAGATGCCAGAGGCTCTACCCTGTTACCTTTTCCAGGAATATTTAATCCAAAGAAATGAGTCTCTTAGTGGAATTTCATTAATGTGGCTCACTTCTAGAAGAAACTTCTCAATTTCAAACCCTACCCTAGACTGCTTACCAGTAAAGCCATTCCTGGTTGGAGAAAAGACTAGTGTAAACTTGTCAAGTTTTGATAACTGTAAAAATAGGCATTTTTCCTCCATCAGTTTAATTTAGTGACTCTCAGATGATTTATATTCATTTACTTCACTTTATGGGAAAGCACACCATTTTGCTCCTACTCAAGGTTGAGTTTCTCAGGACTGGGGAAATCGCTGATTGAACTTTTCCTGGTGCTGGGGGCCACGTATGTATTTCAGAGTCTGTTTCTTTGTTCCGTCTATCATCACCTACATAAAAGGAAAGTTAAGTCAACTTTTATTTCCCTGTCTTTTGATTTGCAGTCAGCTCGCTGGGAGTGTTTATGAATAATTCTGTTAGAAATGGTTTGATAATACTAGCCTGGGTAGTGAAACATTGTACAGAGCTTCGCACATGGAGGTGCAGTGTGGGCAGAAACCTGTGAAACGCAGTGGCAGATTCTCTTTGTGTTGGCAAAGGCTTATGTTCTCTATTTCTGCTTTCAGGGAGGAGAACACTGTTACTACCAGGGCCACATCCGAGGAAACCCTGCCTCATCTGTGGCATTGTCAACGTGCCATGGACTTCAGTAAGTGTCCCCCAATTTTTTGTATCATCCATTTTTTTTTCAATCACTTATTTTCTTTATTTTTAATGCACCGTGGTCAAAATCTCTATTTTATATAAAGAACTAATTTTAAATCAGTGGTGGATCAAATCTTTTTCTCCTTTGTGGTTTATAAACCAAGCAGACTGTTAAATTAGAGATGCAGAAACCAGGGGCTCTATGATTATAATATGCATCCTTAGTGATGTTTGAAACATTTTTCTAGTTTCATGCAGATGGAGACAGGAGTCGTTTGGGTAACTTTGTTCTCTGTTTCCATGGGTGTTTAGCCCCTTGGTACCCGTTCCACCCCTCATACTCCTTGATGTTCATTTTTACATTTGTATGGAATAATAGAGATTTCAAGAGGTGGAAACTCCTGACTCCTTGCACAAAGACAAGGGCTGCAGGTGACCTCAAGAGCTCATGTGTTTTAGCCCTTTATTCAGCCAGAATCCCATCTAACTCACAGCAAACTCGTGGGAGGGTTCATTTGTTCTCAGAAATCTCTATGGAATGAAGTTCATCCTTCCTCAGGGCCTTGCTTCCTTTTACATAACCTTCACTATCAAAGTAGGTTTGCTGATATTTACTATGGAAATAGGTCAGCTTCCTCCATCCTGTCTATGATGGTGATACCCAGGTAGCTGTCTGTCTCTTGTCTTGTGACCCCTTATAAAGATACTGTGTCAGCCCTCAGCATTCTACTTAGGACTAAATCATCCAAGCTCCTTGTTACTTTTTGGGGCCCAGAACCAGCTAGCACTTTAGTTTTGTGAAATTTTTGTTTGGAAGCTTTAAAATACTTCCTGTCTGTTACCAAGTTAGAGATGTGGACTTTTCATCTAACAAACAGTTATTGAGCATCTGGTGTGTGCCAACCACTTGGAATATTAAGGGAATTAGAACGTGAGCCCTGCCCGCAAGAGCTCCCAGTCTAGTGGGGAAGCTAAATCTAGCCCAGCTTTGTGCTATGGAATGTGGTAGGTATATTTATTTTCTTTGAGAGAGAAAAAACCTGAGAAAAATGCAAGCTGAGAGTGGGCACTGAATGAGGTCATCCCTGAGGGCTCCAGAGAGATGTCACCTGAAGAAAGTGGAGTGGGCCCTGGAACAGGCTTTGATAGAATCTTCCAGGAAGAGGGGTTCAACTGACGCGTCCAAAGAAAGTGAGGAAATAGGCATAATGGGAAGGGCTGGGAAATCTAGCCAGTCTGCCTAAGTAGTGCCTCTGGTCAGGTTCTGGCAGTAGGTACGTGAGAGGCAGGAAGGAGAGAGCACAGGGATCAGATAAATAGCCAGAGAAAGGAGGTCACATGCCTGAGAGCAGGATAGACCTCCATTTGCTTATTGTTTTTTTCTAAAGGACCATTCTACTAATTTTAAATAAATTCTTTGAATAAGGAGACATTTTTACAAACATGGAATCCGTTCCTAATATCTGAGAGCCTCAGCATTCTTAATCTGGAAAAAAACGTCGATATCCCCTTCAGCAGTAAAATTGTCATCTCTGATCTCAAGATGAGCACAGCTGTCAGCCAGGAATAGTACACTGGGCCTGCCTGCTTTTGTGACAGCAAATGTCTGTTCTAGGCATTTTCCTTCCTCTCTCTTCCTCTTAAAATCTCAGTCCAAAGTCACAGTGTAAGTGTCTTGCCCAGTACATGTTCCAATTCCTCCCTGCCCCTCCCCTCCCCCACCCCCCAGTTTTCCAAATGGACACAATATTGTGAGAATAAGAGAGAAGGTATTACTGCCTTCTAAGGACCCTAACAGACCTGAGACCCTCAGACCAACAGCTACTAATCCTACACAGTTCTAAGGGTGGAAAGGAAACTTGAAGGATGTTTTAGTGACTAAGTTGAGGAGTTGAACTCAGAGCCTGCTTCTGTTGTTTTAACTAAGTAAAATTTATTTCTCCCTTTAGAAACTTTTTCATTTAAGACTAAACAAGAGGAAACAAGCAGAAAACCCACCATGTGTAGGGACACTGTCAGGATTATGTACAAGTGCATTTTGGTGTTCTTAGACTTTTATGAGCATGTTGAATAAATTCACTCTTGTTCCTTTTTGTTATTTATTAATTATTACTTTTCATCTTGATTTTACCTTCTGAACAAACATTGCTGACAGAAGTACTTGGGGGAGCTATTTCTAAATATTAAATAATTTATGTTGTCTCAATTGCAGTGATTTAGATATGAGATATATTATTTCATCCATGACTCATCTTCTATAAATGACCAAGTACATGTTGAGATTTTTCATTTTTCTTGATTTACTGAATTCCATTAAAGAACATAAAGGGTAAAATAATCAAACTCATATCTTTTCCATAAAGAACCTGCAGGAGCACATTTTTTTTCAAATTCGAAGGACTGATGGGCAATATTTTGGTCCTGGTATGTCTGATGTTTTGACAAAATCCTGTAATTATGGGAACATTAAAGAATGGAATCAAATGTAAGTTTATTGCCCTCTTGTGGCAATTTGTAAGAATGACTATTTCCTTTCAAAATCTTGTTTTGATGCAGCCTTTTAAAATTTTAGCTCAGTCAATTGGCTGGTAATGACTTGGTCCTAGCTATAGGATTTTATCAGTTATAAACTCTGTGATGGACTCAGTATACTATTTGGAATTTATAGAAATGTAACAGAAAGCTTTCAATCCTCAAACAAAGTAAATGAAACACACATGCTTTTTAATTGTTAAAGAATCAAAAATGGCATATTTTCGTTTAGGGAACCAGGACTTCCCTGGTGGTCCAGTGGTTAAGACTCCACACTTCCAATGCAGGGGGCATGGGTTCGATCCCTAGTCCGGGAAGTTCCACATGCCGTGGGGCCAAAAAAATAGTAATAATTCATTTAGGGAACCAGAATCTTCATGGATGGTGTCAGAATCTGCTTTGTTTATACCATGTATCATGATGTTTAAATCCAATAAAAAAATAACTGATTTTTGAATTGGATACTAACCTAATTCAAGAGGAAATAGCACCCAATACTATTTAAACAAAATAATCTGCTTGCTACTTAATCAGTGTAGCCATGTGAACTTTGGCAAAGGGTGATGGTTTTGTACAGTTTTCTGGTTGGGTCTGGCCTGTTATCAGCAGAATGTTCACTGCCATATTTGGTCTACTGTTCTGAAAATGCTCCCCTCACTGATTCCTTAGGCATATGTTGTCAGTCATATCTTACAAACTGCGTCTGTTTATCTTTAAATTCCAAATGCAGTGTCATCCAAATTCAGAAAGTGCACTTTGGGTTGAAAACATTACAGATGTAAAAAGGGCAGTTCTAACGGTATATGAAAGTAGAGGACATGTGGAAGATGTTACTGCAGGAGCGAATGAATTTGGATAGACACGGAGCTGGAGGCCATTATAGTTATAGCTCAGGAAACCAGCCGATTTCGCTAAGCGATCAATGAAGGACACATACTGTTCTATGGTTAGCAGCTTGGGTATAATGCAGTCATTTCCACCTAACGCTGAAACGTGACTGCAGAAGATCACAGCTTCACCTCCCTCAGACACCTGAGTGGTAACACAAGTTCCTTCAGTATCAAAAGGGACCTGATCTTAGTAGAAAAACCACATTACTCTAAAAGGGGCGGCTTTTGGATCTCTCCGAGTGGGAGCTGAGGTCATATGTAGCTTAAGATGCCCTCCAGAGGATTTCCCAATTGGCTGACAATTATCTCTAGCCAGTGAGGTCCAAAATTGAACTACAGATTTGCGCCCTGTTCCCTGCATCCTGCTGCCTTGTGCCCGCCCTGTTCTGCTCTTCCTGCAGCTTTTGTCATCTTATTAAATGTATATGATGTGTGTGTATGTATGTGTGTGTGTGAGATACGTGGAGTGAGGTGTGTGTGTTGTGTGTGTGAGTGTCTGTGGTATGTGGTGTGTATATGTGTGGGGTTGTGGGGTGTAATGTACGGTATAATGGTGTGTGTGTGTGGTATGGTATGTGGGTGGTGTGTGTGTGTATGATGTGTGATGTGTGTGGTGTGTGTGTGTGTGTGTGTAGTATGGGTGGTGTGTGTGGTGTATGTGTGTGTGTGTGTGTGGTATGGGTGGTGTGTGTGAGTGTGTATGATCTGTGGTGTGTGTGGTGTGTGTGTATGATGTGTGCTGTGGGCGGTATGTGGGGGGGGTGTGCTATGTGGTGTGCACCCTATGTGATGGGTGGGACTGGGAAGTGGGCATTGAGAAGTAAACTGGCTCTCCGGCTGCTGCTGACTTTAAAATGATCTTGTTCTGAGGCAAGAGTCAATTGCCAGCCCTAAGTATTTTCTTGTCCTTGGCAGTGGGATGTTCTATGATGGGAACCACACCTATCTCATCGAGCCAGAAGGAAATGACACCTCCCAAGTAAGTGCTCCTTCTGTTTGCTGTGACAAATGTAAATGTTGATGCTGGGAGCTTTTTTTCCCTCTTTTTTCTCTCTTTTTTGCTTTATTTTCATATTTTAGGGTCAGGAATATATGTATACATATATACGTGTAATATGTACACATATACATTTAAATTAAATAGTGAATAAGGCAAAATCACAGTGATCTTTTTTTAAAAAAATCTGCCTGTTACTCTTCCATTCGGTCGGAAATACTTTCCTTCTGAGGTGTTCTGAAGCCTTCATATCTATCTCCACCATAATGTGCTGTGGTCTTAGTCTGCTCAGGCTATCATTATAAAATACTGCATGGCTTAAACAACAGAAATTTATTTTCACACAGTTCTGAGGACTGGAAGTCCAAGATCAAGGTGCCAGCAGGGTCAGTGTCCATTGAGGTCTCTCTCCCTGGGGTGCAGAGAGCCACCTTCTCTCTGTGTCCTCACATGACAGAGAGAGAGTGTGAGGTCTGGTGTCTTTTCCTCTTCTTATAAGGACACAGGCCTTATCAGATTAGGACCTCACTCTTGTGACCTCTGTTAACCTTTATCGCATGCTCAACAGGCCCTGTCTCCCAATATAATCACATTAGGAGTTTAGGGCTTAAACATGAATTTTGGGAGACACATAGTCAGTTCATAACAGATCGAATCCATAGATAATGTGATTTTCCAACATTTTTCTTTTCTAGATTCCAGATTTTTCTCTATTGCCCATTTTCTTTAAGGCCCCGTGGTGATGAAGTTTAGAGAAATCTGGGTTTTCTCAATTCTCTCTCTCACTTTAGTTGAAACATTCATTTTTCACAAATTAGAAAAGGGTTACTATTACTGACTATAGAGAAACATAATGCACTTCCATCCTAGCTCTGTACACACAGATATTCTTCCATGTATCATAGAACACTGATCAAACACTTAGAGAGGCAAATAATTTCAAGAAACACACATTGTTTTGCCACTCATAAACAGTCTTGTGTGGGAAACTATCTGTTTTGTGTGTTATTTTCTGGGTACCCACTGAGAGCTGTCCTGTCACTTTGCTTGACAGTGTGATTTTTTTTTTAATACATTTATTTATTTATTTTTGACTGTGTTAGGTCTTCGTTGCTGTGTGTGGGCTTTCTCTAGTTGCAGTGATCAGGGGCTACTCTTCATTGTGGTACACGGGCTTCTCATTCTGGTGGCTTCTCTTGTTGCAGAGCACGGGCTCTAGGCGCACGGGCTCAGTAGTTGTGGCTTGCGGGCTCTAGAGTGCAGGCTCAATAGTTGTGGTGCACGGGCTTAGTTGCTCCGCGGCATGTGGGATCTTCCCGGACCAGGGCTCGAACCCGCGTCCCCTGCATTGGCAGGCGGATTCCTAACCACTGCGCCACCAGGGAAGCCCGACAGTGTGATTTTTTAAAAAAGTAATATCATGAAACTTGACTCTTTATGACATTCTTTCTTTGGTAATTGAAGGAAGCCAGATGAAGTTATTTGAATGTTCATTAAGTTTTCTTAGATGAAACATGGCTTTTTATCTGTTGGTTTTTCGCAGAAGTTTATGTGACACTTGAATGTTGAGGCAGGGTCTGCTTTGGGCGTTCTGCTTGTTCCAGTCATCCGGCTCCCCAGTACAGGGAGACTGTGAGCTCTGCAGTGTGCCTAACAAAGCTATCAGGCTCTAAAAGGGGGCAGGGCTCCGTGGAAAGGAACCAGTTGTAAAAAACATTAACCCATTTCCCCAGGCGTCTTGCTTCTCCTTGGGGGAATAGGTCCATTCATTTCTTTTTGATTACTGCAGGCTTTGGCTTCTCTGTCTGTGAAGGCGTTTTGCTTTTAATGCGCTGTCACTCTGATGCTGGGAGAATACAGGAGTGAGCTGGAGGGGTTGTGCAATGGCTCTTCCAAACCCAAGAGAATGCGGAGTCAAGCGACGGTTCCTTTAAGGTCTAAGCTCCTCCAGCTATGATTGCCTGAGCCTGGAGATATCTGGTTGTCCCTGCCTCATCTCTCTTGTTTGTGTTGTTTCAGGAGGATTTCCGTTTTCATTCGGTTTACAAATCCAGACTGTTTGAATTTCCCTTGGATGATCTTCCATCTGGTATGATCTTCTTATAGTGATTTTAAAAAACAAGACAACTTTAGTAATTCATTTTAATGCTTTAGAGCTAATTATATGTGGAATATCATCAGCCTGTGACTGCTCATAACAGTTTTAGAAAGTCAAGTAACATCAAGAGAGAATAAAATGCAAACCTACCTCATGTTTATAGTGGATGAGTTTGGAAAGATATAGCTTGAACATGATGAAGGAAAACTTTTTCAAATTATAAGACTCAAAGTAAGGTATTCCAGGAGAAATAATGTTAAAGCAAAAATTGGTCTGCCTACATAGAATATATAAAATTCATTCTTGGTGAAATACTGAGTTTGTAAACATAGAGATGAACCCTGAATTATTTTCCCGTTTGTTGTTTCCTCATCTCTTTTTGCCCCAGCATTTTAAGAAAGAACTATTGTAGATTAACATTTATTATGATGATGTGCTATTTGTGAAATTGGTCTTCCTTCCCATGTGTGTTTATGGGTCCATCTATTTATAGCTTTGATTCGAGAGTTGCATCCATGTCTTGTCTTGGCAAGAAAGGCAGAGTACTCAGGCTTTGGCCTCATTAGTGGAGCAATGATTATGCAGAGTGCATTTATCTTTGGCTATGCTAGACTCATTCATGTTCTCCTTCTAAAGATAGGGCACACTTTGAATATCTGACGTGGAGATGCTTCCTTCCCTATTTAGTGAGCCCTGACTATGGCTGTAGTACATTCTAATTTTTAAACTCTTTTTGATCTTTGCAACAGCTCTGTGAGGTCAATATTATCATTCCCATTTTACAGATGAAGAAACAGAAGCTCAGCTAGTTTGTTTTTTTCTAGGGTCCCACAGCTCGTAAGGGGCTGAATGGGGGTTTGGATTATGGCACTACGAGAATGTACCCTGGGAGAGAGGCACAAGGGCACATGGAAAAATTACTAGACTAAAGCAAACCCTAAACTACTACTTAGGAAAATGACTTAAAGGCTGCATTGTCTTCTCATTGGAAAATGAAATAAGTGTTTTCTAATGTTCCTTCCTCTCTGAAACAAACTTGTAACTCGTTGACCTTCTGCGGTTACCCCGAAGAGAAACAGAACTCACCCCTTTTCTCCTGCTGCCAAAGAAATAGAAGATCCTATTTTATAGAATTCACTGTTTGGAAAAATCTGCAAATGAGCATATAGCTAGCTGCTTTTACTTTACATGGACACTTTAGACTGTTCCTTCGTTATCTTACGAAACTTTTTATAATCCCTATTATGGGAAGAAAATGAATCATGGTTAGCTGCCTGAGAACAAAGTTACAATCTTATAGACATTACTGGAAACAATAAACATTAATTAATATTTAAAGTAATAAATAAAGAGTCCCCCCCTAAGGACTTTATTGTAGGCTTGCTTTGATACAATCTTATAATTTTTTAAAAACTTTGTTCAGGGTTTCTTTACAACAGAAACTTTGGAAGTGAGTCAGCAGTTTTGCTGTTATTAAAAATGAGTTTTGAACATATTCTTTGAAAACTCAAGTCTGTCTCAGTTTGTTCCTGGTTTTTTTTTCTTATCAGAAGTTTACAGTGTTGATTTTGAGTGTCATTTGTCTCTCAACATATTTAGATTTACTATGACAAATTAGAAGGAAACAAAAAATAGACAAATGTTAAAACTGCAATTTTTGTGATAATAAGCTCAAAAGGAAGCTTTTTTATTTTAGATTTAATAGTGTCACTGAGTTATGGATTATATTATGTCTTTTTTTTTTTTTACTGTGCATTATGTATTTGCGAGATAGAAATATGATCAGGTGCTCCCCAAACGTGTTTGATTGTGGAACGTTTTGTTTCATTTGACACATCTCTCAGGACTAGTATTCCTAAGAACATATTTTGAGAAAAGCTTATTTATTTAAACACTGACCACTTAGCCCTCAGTGTTTTAAAAATTACTACAATGAAAAACAAAACAAGCAAACAGAACAGAAATAGACTCATAGATACAGAGAACAGTTGGGTGATTGCCAGAGCAGATGGGAATGGGGACCAGGTGAAATAGGTGAAGAGGGTGATGAGGTACAAACTTCCAGTTATAAAATAAATACGTCATGGGGATGTAATGTAAAGCATAGGGAATGTAGTCAATAGTATTGTAATAACTTTGTATGGAGACAGATGGTAACTAGACTTACCTAACCATTTCAAACTATATACATTCAATAAATATCAAATCACTGTGATGTACACCTGAAATTAATATGATATTGTATGTCAATTGTACTGCAATAGAAAATTACTATGATGAAATACACAAAACTAGTGTACTGTTTGCTGAGTTTTGACACCCATATTCTCCCATGGTGAGATATAGAGCATTTCTATTACCCCAGTAACTTCCTTTGTGTCTGTTCCCTGTCAGTGCCACCACTTCTGCAGTTCCTTTTCTGACTTTTTCACCATAGATTAGTTTCTCCTGTTGTAGCTCTTCATACAAATGGAATCATGCATCATGTTCAGTTTCTTTTGCTTAGCACATGCCTGAGATCTATGTTGTTGAGGGTAGCAATTGTTCTTTCTTTTATATTATTGAGTATGTTCTTATTGTATGAATATACCACAATTTTTTATCTCTTCCGTCGATGGACATTTGGATTGTTTCCAGTTTTGGGCTATTATGACTATAACAACTATGAAAATTCTTGTCAAAAATCTTTTTTGTGGACACACGTCTACATTTCTCTATCAAATACCTGGGAGTGAAATCACTGGGTCATAAGGTAGGTATATGTTTAACTGTATAACATTGTTCTGAAACTTCAGCATGCATCAGAATCACCTGGAGGGCTTGGTAAACACAGATTGCTGGCCTCGTCTTTAGGGTTTCTTTTTTTTTTCCAGCTGCTTTATTATGGTATAATTGACATACAAAAAGCTTTATATGTTTACTGTATACAACTTGATGAGTTTGGAGATAAATATACACCCATTAAATCATCATCACAATCTCTGCCATAAACATATCCATCCATTCCAAAAGTTTCCTCCAGCCCTCTTTATTTATGATGATGATAAAAACACTTAACATAAAATCTAACCTCTTAGCAAATTTTTAAGTATACAATACAGTATTGTTAACTATATGCACTAAGCTGTACAATAGATCTCTAGGACTTACTCATCTTGTGTAACTGAAACTTTGTGCACTTTGGCTAATAACTCCTTATATCCCCCTCCACACAGCCCCTGGCACTACCATTCTAATCTCTGTTTCTCTGAGTTTGACTATTTTAGATCCCTCATATAAGTGGTATCATATAGTATTTGTCCTTCTGTGTCTAGCTTATTTCACTTAACAAAATGTCCTCTAGGTTCATCTATGTTGTTGCAAATGGCAGGATTTCTTTTTTAAGGCTGAATAATATTCCATTGTATGTATATATCATATTTTCTTTATCCACTCATCCACTGATGGACATTTAGGTTGCTTCTGTATCTTGACTGTTGTTAATAATGCTGCAGTGAACATGGGAGTACAGATATTTCTTTGAGATCCTGATTTAAATTCCTTTGGCTATATACCCAGAAGTGGGATTGCTGGATCATTATGGTATTTCTCTTTTAAATTCTTTCATGAACCTTCATAATGTTTTCCATAGTGGCTGCACTAATTTCTACAGCTTTTGATTAAGTATACCTTGGGTGGGTTATGAGAAATTGCATTTCCAAGTTCCCAGGTAATGCTGATGCCACCAGTCCAAGGATCACAATTTAAGAACTACTGTTGGAAGAGAAATTGTGGAACCTTTTCCCAAAGTGGTTATACCATTTTATACTCTCATCAGCATTATATGAGAGTTCTAACTGCTCCGCATCTTCACCAGCCTTTGGTGTGTCATTCTTTAGTGAAGGTCAGTGGTGGAAGTGAAGGTCGAGTGGCTATTCAGACAATTCCCCATAAAAATGTGATGGTATTTATAGGAGAATTTTGAGAAAAATTTTGAGATAAATTAGAACAGGAATAATGTTTGAGGTTTTTTTTGAATTGTATTCCTTTGTGGTATGTTTACTTAGTATTAATATGAATGCAGTTACTTAGATCAATGTTCTGTATTTTCCTTAAGCACAATATCATATATTATAAAATTCATAATTAGTTATAATTCTGTAATTTATAAATTATAATTATAATACTCATTGATGATTAAAGTACAGTTATATAATTTATACTAAGAAGGGCTAGTAAAACTTTGTTTACCCTTCGTGAAAGAAACCTGGCAAATGCACTAAGTTAAATTTAACTTATTTTTATTTCCTTTTAGAATTCCAACAAGTAAACATCACTCCACCCAAATTTATTTTGAAGCCAAGACCAAAACGGAGTACACGACAGGTATGTATTCACAGGTATATGTCATGATGTTTTAAAAACATTTGGCAACTGCCAATCAGTTTAATCTACATGAAGTCTGTGAGAGATAAGAATTAGTTCAGGCATTTGCTATAGTGTGGTAACCAAGAAGGGCTGACACATTCGTAGGAGCAGTGGAGTTGGGGCTATATTATTTCATAGACTCAAAAGCACTCATAGTGGTGATAATATGGTCATTCATCATACAGATGGATTATGAGGCCCCTGCTGTGGCATCTCAGGTTCTTTCTACCATAGGCCTCTTTCCTTGCCTGGGCGTACACCACAACATGGAGTCTACTTGGGTGGTTCATGTCCTTGTATTTATCCCCTTAAAGATACCCCCTTAAGAGTGACTCCGTCAGGTTTGGAAGCCACAAAATGGTATTTTCACACTTGAGCTATCAATACTTTGTGGAGTCTAGAATATAAAATCCGAATGTCTGCTTTATCAGTGTTCAAAGGGTATTGAACTTAATAATAACAACAGTTCATACAGTGCTTTTAACCACATGAAGTAGGTGCTATTATTTCCCTTTCACAGCAAAAAAAAATGATGTCTCTGAAATGTGCAAATGACTTGCCCAGAATCGTAGAGCTGGTAAATAGTTTAGACAAAATAAGAACTCTGGTCATCAGAATTAAGATATTATGACAGTTGTGGTGGTGGTTGGTATGAGTGTGTGTGTATGGCATAAAAATAGGATGAGAGAAATAGATCTCTAATAAGATAAAGCCGTTGAAGGAATGAGGTATCTTCTTTTTAATATGTGTTTAGTAAGTATGAAATAAAATGTGTTTACATACAGATTTCTAATATGAATGATAATTCCTAAATTTTATTGAGTACTCACCATGTTCAATTGTATTAACATACTTAATCCTCATAACAATCTTTTGAGGAGGGAATTATTATTAATATTATCACTGATTTACTGATAAAGACATTGAAGCATAAGAGGCTTAAGAAGCTTGCCCAGGGTTACATTGGGTTACCCAGTGGTGGAGCTGGGATTCTGACCTAGAAGTCTGGTCTCAGAGCAGTGCTTATAACCATGTATGCATTACATACTGCCTCTCAGAAGCTGTTGTGTCCCATGAATTACTACTATGAGCTCTATATGTTTTGTGAATGTACACATATATTGAAGCCCAGTTAAATAGATAAAAGTAATTGCCGTCAGGATTTAATTTGAATCAGTATTTGCTTTCATGACTTAAGAACCAAGAGAATGGGATAATTTTCTTTTGATATGATCCTTGAAGTTCTTCATAAACATCTGCAACATCCAGTCATTTGCTAAGCAGGCAGACCCTTGATTTCTCTTTATGAGAAAGCTGTGGACCCTGGAGGTGAGGTGTTATAAAACCGTGTGGCCAATATGGCAACTCTCTGACACTAAGAAAATACTGGGACTTGTTATAAGTCTACTTGTTAGAAAGGCTCAGGTCTCTACCACAATTAACAAAGCAAATACTATCATCCTAACAACATCCTTTTTTTTTCCTAGAAATGTTTTATTGTTTATACATTTGTGAATTTGATTTCTAATAATTGATATAAATTTTATTTTAGTATTACATCTGTAAAAAATCCATTAAAAAAACTCTTGTCAGTGGATGCAGTTTATGTTATTTTTTGGTTTCCAAAACCAGAATTATAGTCTATTATTTCCTATTAACTTGGTGTTTTAAGGGATTTTGAAAAGTAAAGTTTTTTAGAATTTGGGAATGCATTAGCAATTAAACAAAATCCATGTGGCAGAAATATTTTAGTTTAAATGCAATACTCAAACATTCATGTATTTTTTTAGGTTTGATTGTATATCCTTATGACAAAAATGGCCCTTGGGCAAGTGAACAAGAAGGTTTATTGAAAAAATAAATGTGTGTCAAAGTATGGCACAAAGGAAAAAGTTAATTTTGCAGATCCTGTTAAAGATTGTGCTATAGACTAATTTCAGAGAACCAAAGGATGTGGCTACCTTCGTGGCTCTTGACAGTACCATTCATTGGTCATGATTTTGAAGGTGGAGAAAATTTGTGGTTGAACAGACAGATATAGCTGCACTGGGTAACCAAAGACTGCCTGAGACCTCTCCAAACTATCCTAACAGAGCTCCTATATATCACTAGGGACATCCTCTGAACCCTATCAGCAGAAGGGGCATGTCTCAGAGCCTGATTTGGAGACTATATAGTAAAAGTGTCATTCCACTCCCTACGTAGAACTCTCAGAGATTCTCAGGAGCTTAAACCATTTGTTATAATCTCCAAGATATACTGTTAAATGAAAATAGCCTGATGCAAAAGAGAAGGAGATAAATGGAAGTAGAAAATAAAATATATCTCATATTTGATTTTATATGAATAAATATTTCTGGAAGAAACCAGTAACTGTGCTGTACCCATTGTGGGGGAAGGAGTAACAATTGGTAGATGGGGGACAGAGGTGAGAGGAGAACTTTCATCCTATACCTTTTCATAATTCTTTAATTTTTGAATCATGCAAATTTATTACTCACTCAAAAACTAAGTAAATTGATGAAAATGAAAAAAATACTAAATAAATAAAAGGGGAAATTTTGTTTTGTTTATTTCTCCCATATTTAACATTTTTTTAATTAAAAAAATTATTTCAGCTTATTGAAGTATAATTGACAAATGTAAGATATTTAAAGTATACAGTAGGATGATTTGATATACATTATATTTGTGAAAGGATTCCCCCCATGGATTTAATTAACATATCCATCACCTCATGTATTTTCTTTTTTTTTTTTTTTTTGGTGAGAGCATTGAAATTCTGCTCTATTAGCAAATTTCAATTATACAGTATAGTGTTATCAATGTAAGTGTCCATCAATGGATGAATGGACAAAGAAAATGTATACACACACACACACAGAGTCACACACATACACAATGGAATATTACTCAGCCTTAATAAAGAAGGAAATCCTGTCATTTGCAACAACATGAATGAAACCGGAGGGCATTATGCTAAGTGAAATAAGCCAAACAGAGAAAGACAAATAATGGCATCGCGTCACCTACATGTGGAATCTAAAGAAAAAAACACCTCATAGAGACAGAGTAAAAAAGCGGTTGCCAGGGGCTAGGTAGTGGGGGAAACTAGGTAGGGAGAGGTTGGTAAAAGAGTACAAACTTTCAGCTAAAAGAGGGATAATATCTGAGAATCTAATATGTAACATAAGTTTCCCATAGCCAAGATCGGAGGCTTATTTATGAGCTATTTCCTTTATTATATTGCAGCTTCGTCGATATCCTCGTAACATAGAGGAGGAAACCAAATATATTGAACTGATGATTGTGAATGATCATCTCATGGTAGGATTTGCTGAATTTTGTGTTGTTTGAACTTGCCTGTGCCTAGGGTAAAACTAGTGGGTGCAGGAATATGTTTAGAAGAAAGAAGTCCGTAAAGTTGTAAGTTGGAGAAGGTATATGTATAAAGAAACATCTCTGTTACCCAGCAACAACCTGTAAGTAGGAAACACTCTTAGGTAAAGCAATTAACAGTATTTTGTGAGGTTCCAAAAATATTTCTGTGATTCATAATTTTAACTCTTTGGATTCACTTAGTTAATGTAGGGGCTAATATCTTCTCTTACAAAAATCGCAAGGTTAAAAAAAAAGGGAAACTTCTGTTTTATATTGAAAAAGTGAAGCAGCAATAATGTGATTCTTTAGTTCGCAATGTACAGCTTTATCCTAATAAATGGAAAGCAATTTTTCTATTTCTGTCTTGCTATGTAGTAAACCATTTGGAAAGGCTTATAAACTTATTTACAAAACAGAAACAGACTCAGACTTAGAGATTGAACTTATGGTTACCAGGGGAAAAGGGTGGAGGGGAGGGATAGATTGGGAGTTTGGGATTGACATGTACACACTACTATACTTAAAATAGATAACCAACAAGGATCTACTGTATAGCACAGGGAACTCTGCTCAATATTCTGTAATAATCTAAATGGGAAAAGAATTTAAAAAAGGGTAGATACATGTATAGTATAACTGAATCACTTTACTGTACACCCAAAACTAACACAACATTGTTAATCAATATATGCTGCAATATAGAATAACACTTAAAAAAAAAACAACCTTATATAGCCAAGCAGTGAAGATTTTTAGGATAAAAACCTAGCCAAACATCCTTTTTTGTTGAGTCAGGTTTTTTTTAATACTCAATTCATGGGCATGTTGTATATTCAGTTCATGAGCATGTTGTATACTCAATTCATGGGCAGAGTTTTAAACTAAAAATATTCAGTGATGCATGTTGCTGAATTTTACTTAATTTCAGGTACACATACATTTTAATTTACTTTGAATTATTTATTTGGGGGAAAATGTGTCATTTATTTAAATATGATTAAACTAATAACACTGATTATTAATTAATAATAATTATTATTATTGAGTGCTTCTTCCTTGTTCAGGGTAGGACTAAGTTCTATCTTCCTGCCGATTTGATTTCGTGAATGTTACTTTTTCCTGAGATTTTTACAGAATAAAAATAAGTTGCAAGAACACATATTTTAGACATTTTAGGATATCATAAATTCAGATGTCTGTAAACATCTGTAGCAGATAATTCAAATAAAGTGAGCCAGGTATAAAACAATAGGGAGGGGTGAGGCCTGTGGCAAAAGAGAAGTCACATGGTCTGCCCAACAGGAGAGTCTGCTTCTCAGCCCTTGCCAGTTATTACCATTTGGGGATACTAATTTTGAGTGAAGCCAGAAATCATGATATTTCCTGATTTTTAAAACAGCACTGAGGCCAAACCAAAGATAAATGTCATTCACATCAAGCCTATAAGCCACCTCCTCGTGACCATTAGGGCTTTCTTCTCTTTACTGAGTAAGTCTTGTGGAACTTTTTATACTTTTAGCATTATTCACATTCAGTTTTTCTGGCTTTCACCCTACCTTTATTTGTATGTCTTGCCATTTATCAACAACTTTCATATGTTTTATCATTTTGAATAACAATCTTGTGATAAAAAACAAACTTTTGAAATGGATGGAATGGGTGTTTTCTACTTTACCTCAAAGTGAGTTAAGGCCTCAAACTTTTAGGAGGCCTCAAACTTTTAGGAGCGTTGCCTCAGGCTACGCAGCATCTAAAGAACTAGGTGTCAACTTGCAGTTTTTACAGAAAGCTTTAGAGGCCTTTCAATTACACCATATTTCCTCTGCTGAAATGAGTATTTGCTGATGACCTTGAAGCCCTTCACTTGTTTTCTTTTGCTTTCAGTTTAAAAAACATCGGCTTTCAGTGGTACTTACTAATACCTATGCGAAATCTGTGGTGAACATGGCGGATTTAGTAAGTATGAACCCGATTCAGTATTGCCACAGAGGAAGTTTATCTCCTGATTGCTAATAAATCGGATAATGTTCTTATATTTTCACTGCCCTAAATTGCACTTTAGCCAAGGTGTCCTGTTAAGTCCCTGGTAACTTTGCCATGAACTTTATTGACTTTGATCTCTGGCTGGGAAAATGATAAAAGGAAGTGGTCAGAGTTACAGCTTTATGCCTGAAGTTTTTTATGCCTATATTTTTATGCCTGTATTTTTCACACTGGAAAAGAAAAGGTTGAGTTGTAGCCCCTAACAAGATATTCACAGTGTAGTTCTAGCAATGGAGAAACAGTTGTGCCTTTTCAAAAGAGTGCCTGGTGCCGTGGGAAAGATGCAACTAAATAATTCTACTAAAACTACTTTCCAAATCTTCCCGACAAGGCAGTGCCAGTACCTTCTCCATGAGTTTAATTAGGGCCAACTAGGGTATACAGAAATTATCTCCTTCATGAGTGTTCCAGTTTTTGCTAGTGTGAATCTTATAGGGTGCCAGAAAATGGACTCTGGGGGAACAACTTTGAGTAAGGGTGCAAAGATTTGTCAAAAAGCAATATTTTGTTTCTACTAGTACTCTATTCTTTGGTTATGACTTGGTAAACAATTGGAATCTCTATCACTCAAGGGAAATGCATGTAAGTTAGAAAAACAATTATCTCCCCTAAAAACAGTGGAATTTATCACATTTAGCTAAAACTCGAGGAGTTTCCATAAAAGGAGCTTTGTAGTCCTGTTCATAAATCAGTTGATTTTTACCACATGTATAGCTGGTGTGTTCATTTTGTTAATATACTAGATATATAAAGACCAACTTAAGACAAGGATAGTATTGGTTGCCATGGAAACCTGGGCGGCTGACAACAAGTTTGCCATATCTGAAAATCCATTGATCACCCTACGTGAATTTATGAAATACAGGAGGGATTTTATCAAAGAGAAAAGTGATGCAGTTCACCTTTTTTCGTACGTAACTTTTGTAATGATTTATTACTTTTTTTATTCCATGTTGAATACTCTTATTACTTGTAGATGAGATGTATTCTTTCTACTGCATAATGCAATTAGGATTTGATGTGGCAGACGTATTTGAAAGAAGTTTTAGAGTACAGATTGTTTGAAACTGTCACGAATATTCAATAGATTTAATTTTGAGTTATTTTATTATTGCATGTACATTTCATATAATTTTTTTCAAGAGATTTAATCAGAGCATTTACTGAATGAAAGTACTATTAATTCTCATAAGGAGTATTCTTAACAACAGATTATTATATATTCTTTAAAGTTGCTGCCTTTTAAATGTTAATGTTATCTTTGTTTTTGGTCTAAGGGGAGAGCTTAGTATACCTAGGGTACATTTTATTTTTTCTTTTTTCTTACTCTTATGGTTTTTCTGGGGGGTAACCTGCATATTTGATGTAAGAGCAAATCATAAATTGCAGCAATTTAAAAACCTACCATCTAAAGCCAGAGCTGTTGAAGAAAGTTACAAATGGAAGTAAAAGAGTATTTTTGAGGTAACTTTTTATTTTACACAATTCCAAATTTACAGAAAAGTTTCAAGAATAATACAAGGAAATACCATATGCCCTTTACCCAGATTCATCAATTGTTAACATTTTATCCCATTTGTTTTATGATTTTCTTCTTTCTAGCCTTCTCCCTTCCTTGCATCTATATCTATCTATCAGTGTCTTTTTTTTGTTTTTTTCCCTGAACTATTTGAGAGTAAGTTGGAGACATTTACTTACTGGGCCTTTACTACTAAATACTTATATATATTTCCTAAGAATAAAGACATTCTCTTATATAACCACAGTAAACTGTCAAAACCAAAAATTTTAACATTGTTACAATGTTTTTATCTAACCCACTGTCTATATTCAGAGTTCACCAATTGTTTCAATAATGTTTTATAACTACCCCCCAATCCTTGCCCAAATCCAGGATCCAGTCCAGGATCACATATCACATTTAATCGTCACATCTCTTTACTTTCCTTTAATCTGAAATATTTCCTCAGCCTTTCTTTGTCTCTTTTGAGGTTAACATTTTTGAAGAGTATAGGCCAGTTATTTTATATCATGTTCCTCATTGTGAGAGTGTCTGATGTTTTCTCACTATGAGATTCAAGTTATATGCATTTTTGATGGAAATACCACATAAATGTACCTCATGTTAGAGATCCTTTTTTCATAGGTATAGTTCTATTTAAGATATTTATTGATCATGTGGGGAAACATTCCTCAGAAACCTTTTCCTTTGGTTATGCGTGCAAACAATTTTCATATTCCTCCCTTACCTCAGGAGTATATAGTAGAGAAATGTATGTGCATTGAGAAAATAAGTGTGGTAACTTAATAATGAGAGGTGCTATGATATGTGGACTGTCAGCAGTAAGCCTTTTTCATTTCCTTTTCTGAAAGGGGAAGTCAATTTGAGAGTAGCCGGAGCGGGGCAGCTTATATTGGTGGGATTTGCTCGTTGCTGAAAGGAGGAGGCGTGAATGAAGTAGGTGTGAACATCTGTAAGATACAAAGTGATATGATGGCTGATGATGTTTTCCTAATATTTAAGGGACAGTTTCTCAGTATTCCACATACTCCAGATATTGTTATTTTATTAACAACCAACATGGTTAGTGCCAGAGGCCAGAATAGGGAAATAAGGAAAGATAATATCGGATAATTCTGTTCATGTTCTACTTAGAATAATTTCCAGGTTTAGCTATATACAGATTAGATAGAGAAAATCTTTACCTTTACCTTTATTGAAAATAAGGCCCTGTTTATCACATTGACTGTTTTTCCAGAGAATTGAGTAATTCCCTGAAGCACTGGGTTACTACTTAAGAACTCAATTGAAAATTGTCTTCCTCAATATTTGGCAAATTTTTGGAGGAAAAAATAGACTAGGTTTTCCAAAGGGTTAACTTCTACCCCTAGGGCACTAAACCTGATGGAAGTGATCTAAAAGAAAAATACCTGAATCTTTGGGAGGCTGCATATCGAAAAAAATATCCCTAGGTCTTTTCACGTTTCTTGTGGCCAAAGATCGTCACCGTTTCCTATGACTCATAACGTTGGTTTTCTGAAGCCAAGTTCTATTCAGTTTGGGGATTTTAGGAGTGCTAGTGGACACACAAGGATGAACAAGTTCCAGATAAATTATACATTTATTTTATTTTCTCTTATCTGAAAGACTGGCTTAACTGTGGTACAAGTATTCAGTTTTTCAGGAATGTCACCGGTGAAATTTGGGCTCAAAATTAGATGTAAGTTTCCAAATCCGAAAGTCGATGATTGCCTGGCTTCTAGTCTTCTCTGTAAGACTTAGTCAAACATGGATTTATTTCTTACTGCTTCTTCCCAAATGCTTAGTAGTTCAGCACTAGCTATTATGTGTTTAACCTCTGCTAAATAAAATGCTTAGAAATTACTTATTTTCAATTATATTGTGACATTTTCTCTGGCCCATGTTAAATAAAAAATAATTTGCCTTTACAAGTATTTTATTTTTGTCTTTCAGTTTGGGAAAACGGATTTAATGGCAGTTACGCTTGCCCAGTCGTTAGCCCATAATATTGGTATTATCTCAGACAAAAGAAAGTTAGCAAGTGGTAAGTTTAAGTACATGTGTGGTTTAGTTGTATTTAAAGTAGACTATCTGAAAAATATTTAAGAGAATGAAATTCTTTAATTCAGTTGATAGATCAAAAGAGTTTAAGTGATAATATAAAGATATCCAGGACACAAAAATTATTTTTTCCAAAAGTAATACAAATGTTAATATTTACATTACAGATGAATTTCCTCCATGTATCATAAACATTTAAAGCCAGGTGATGTTAAATTCACAGTTGAATTTAATCTAAAAAAGGACATAAATTCAGTTTGGTAATTTTAAATGGTCTGGGTATATAGGTTTAAGGCATACTGTTTTTTTTTTTTTTTTCTGTATTTTTGTACCATATAAGTCATTTGCTTTTCAGGTTTATTATTTATTGACTATCTCCTGTGCTAGAATGTGAGCTTCCTGAAGAAAGGGCCCTTTATTTTGATTAGTTATGTATCCCAGTGCTAAGAACAGAGCCTGACACGTAGGAGGTGTTCAAACCAGTGTTGTTGAATGAATAAACTTAGAAGTAAATTGCGTTAAGTTCACAAGGTGGATTATAGAGGTGGGTCTGTGTGACTCCAAAACCCAAGCATTTCCACTAAGCCTATGCTAATATAAGTTATTCATAAGGCATACTACTTTATTACAGTTTATTTAAAACATCTTTTAGTATTGCCACAGAGGTAGAATTTGCCTGCCAGGATCAGACCTGATAAAGGGCTTAATACAATATGGGCCTAGTAAAATATGCTAGGTTTAGCATCTATGATGAATATATTTTCCCAAGTAGGTAAAGTTACTTTACCAGGAATGGATAAACACTATATATTTGGAGTAAGTTGATTATAATCATATTTATTGTATTATTTTAGTAACAAATATTATAAATATGATCGTTTATATTAACTACATCTATCACCATTTATGACGTACCCATTATATAACAGATAATTGAATGCCAGAATTATATACATCTAGATGCTCATTTAATCCTCAAGATAATCCTGCAAGATATTCATTATCAGCTCCCATTTTACAGATAAAGTGACTAGATCTTAAAAGTGTAATGTCTCCAAGATTACACATATATTAAGTGGCATACCCAGATTTTGAACCTAGGTATTTCTGATCCTGAGGCCCTTTTGCTTAACCAATATACTATACTGCCTTCTACCAGAAGCCTTGGGTGCAGAGGTTTTAAAAATGGATGAGAAATTGTTAGAATTCCCATAAAGGCTTATGAAACCAGAATCCTGTAGTGGTACATCACTATTTCATTGGTATTTGATTGTTAAGCCATTTTAAGTGAGTGCTTTACAAATATGGCCACTTGTTAAAATATGAAAATATTTTATTTTATTTATTTATTTTTTTTGCTGTGCGCGGGCCTCTCACTGTTGTGGCCTCTCCCACTGCGGAGCCCCGGACGCGCAGGCCCAGCGGCCATGGCCCACGGGCCCAGCTGCTCCGCGGCATGTGGGATCTTCCCAGACCGGGGCGCGAACCCGTGTCCCCTGCATCGGCAGGCGGACTCTCAACCACTGCGCCACCAGGGAAGCCCGAAAATATTTTATTTTAATAAAAATTATATAAGCTCGATAGGGTCAAAGTACAATAGATTTTTGTTGTTACGCATTACATAAAACAGAACATATATTTTTTAAAATAGTAACTACTCTAATGCACCTGTTTTCACTTTGTAACAAGGCACGTGTATTCATTTTCTCTTAGGTGAGTGTAAATGTGAGGACACGTGGTCTGGATGCATAATGGGAGACACTGGGTGAGCCACTTCTATTTAAAAATAACTCACTGTTCCTTTTTCTGCTGTGTTGTTGTCTTCTTAGGAGGATGACAGTCAATAACTTATGTGGAACCTTAAGTGCCTGGAACCTTACCACAGGCATTTAAAATTGGAAGTAGATATTCTCAATGGCTCTGTAGGGAATATATTTTCACAAAATAGTCTCTTATTTATGAAAACAATTGCTGTCCTTTAAGCTAGTAGGTCGGAGTTTTTTTTTTTTGGCTGGGGGAATTTGAAACGTGAGTCAGCGGCATGCAGGATATATGATTCCACCAACTTCAGGTAAATATAATAATTTTTTTAAAGCATTTCTTTTTAAAAAAATTTATTGAAGTATAGTTGATTTACAGTGTTGCATTAAGTTCTGCTGTACAGCAAAGTGATTCCGGTATACATACATATATACATTCTTTTTCATATTTTTTCCATTGTGGTTTATTACAGGATATTGAATACAGTTCTCTTTGCTATACAGTAGGACCTTGTTCTTTATCCATTCTATATATAATAGTTTGCATATGCTAATCCCAAACTCCCAATCAATCCCTCCTCCATCCCCCTCCCCCCGGCAACCCCAAGTCTGTTCTCTATGTCTGTGAGTCTGTTTCTGTTTTGTAGATAAGTTCATTTGTGTCATATTTTAGAATCCACATATAAGTGGTATTATATGGTATTTGTCTGTATCTTTCTGACTTACTTCACTCAGAATGATAATCTCTAGTTGCATCCATGTTGCGGCAAATGGCATTATTTCGTTCTTTTTAATGGCTGAGTAGTATTCCATTGTATATATTACCACATCTTCTTTATCTGTTCATCTGTTGATGGACATTTAGGTTGTTTCCATGTCTTGGCTATTGTAAATAGTGCTGCTCTGAACATTGGGGTGCATGTATCTTTTTGAATTATAGTTTTGTCTGGATATATGCCTAGGAGTGGAATTGCTGGATCATATGGTAATTCTATTTTTAGTTTATTAAGGAACCTCCATAATGTTTTCCAGAGTGACTGCACCCATCAACAGTGTAGGAGGCTTCCCTTTTCTCCACACCCTCTCCAACATTTGTTATTCGTAAATTTTTTAAAGATGGCCATTTTGACCAGTGTGAGGTGGTACCTTGTTGTAGTTTGATCAAAGACTTTTTAGCCTTGAATTTAGTCTGGAAATGTAAGAAATGAGCAACAACTTTGTCCTTGAAGGCTTACTTTCTAATTCCCTTTCCTTTTATCTTCCTGTATTCTAATTAAACGATTTATAAATAGAAGTGTGTCTCAAAAACAAAAACAAGAAGAGAGCCCTGATGAGTAGTTTTCTCAGATTTCCAGCAGCCTTCTACCTTATGTAGAAGCCTATGGTGTAAATGCTCCCACAGTGGCTGATTTCAAGCTACCTGTGTGAATTAAGAGTGGGAAGTGGTGTGCTCAGTCCATTTCCTAAGAAAAGTTTTCATTTTTATACTGTCATACCCTTGACACACTATCAGGCATCAATCTTTTATTCTTTCTAAATAAATTTTACAGCCATCCCTTTCATGCCAAGCTTATCATTACCACCTTACTTTAAACTTTTATTGTCTTGTGCTCTTATTATTTTGATAACATTCCAGCTACTCACACAGCTTTCAGGCTCCCTCTCTCCCCTCCTGAACTCCACTTCCATCATAATTGAAAGGTATAAAGAATAAAAGAGTATACACTTGTATACGATCACCTAGATAAAAACAAAACAAGACACTGCATAGTTAAATCCCCCTGTGTTCTCTCTTATCAGTTCCCAACCCCGGCTAAGGTAACCACCATCTTGAATTTGGTTTATATCATTCACAGGTCAAATTTGGTTTATATCATTCACAGGTCCTTTTTTATACTTTTACTGTATATGTGTGTGTGTGTTGGAGTAATACATAGCATGGCTTTGCATGTTTTCAGTTTATATGAAAGGCGTCATACTATATGTAGTTTTCTGTGACTTACTTTCTTGATCAGATTTATGTTTGTGGGGTTCATCCATGCTGATGTACATATATATATATACAGCTCTAGTTCATTGAATGTGTACAGCACAATTTCTCCATTCTTCTTTTAATGCACATGAATTTTTATGTCAAACGCATGAATCATGTCATTTTTCTGCTCAGAACTTTTGTGTCTCCATTGTGTAAAGAATAAGGTTCACATTCCTTCCTTCAGTATTTAGAGGTCCATAATCTTTCTTCATACTCATTTGCAATCTCATTTTCTACTACTATTTATGCAGTTTGTTTACCATAATTGTATATGGGTTTCCACCTTTTCTGATTTGTTAACTGTAATCCTACATGGATGTTCAGCCTCTGAAAAATATGCTCATCATAATTGTACATGAATTTCCAGCCTCTTTTGATTTCTTTAATATATTCTCTTCATCTGGAATTCTCAGTTTTTTTTCTATCTAACCACATTTCTAACCACTTGAGATTTATTATAAATTTTAACTCCTGCATTATAATTTGATTCTGTATGTCTTTGTTTCCTCTCACCAATTAAAATTTGTAAATTTTTTAGGATTATATATTGCACTAATTTTTATTTTTGTCAGACCTCACGCCATACTCTCTTGTACAGACTTGTTTTTCAATAAATATGTATTGATTGTATTTGAAATGTGAACTCCCAGCATATGCATGACAAGAAGAATAGATGATGGAGGGAATGTACATGCAAATATTTTTCAAAACATCTTTGGACTTTTTGTGTTTAAAATATTTTTCAAAATATCTTTGGACTTTTTGTTTAGTATTAAGAAAAATGATAAAAGTCTTTGTAGTTGTAATTTTCTAACAATTACTAAATTCCATGCTAGAGGTTCTTGTTTTTTAATCTTGTCTGATTATTCTGATTAACTAAAAAAATTATATAGACAATCTGCTTAGCACTAAGCATAATATGCAGCAAAATCAATGGCTACACTCGAATATGCATAGCTCTTTGCATTGGAGCTCCTTACCTTACATCAAATAGTTGCATACAAGAGAAAAGCTCTTTACATAAAACATTGTCTGGTACGATGCCAGATATCATTTGATCTGTGCCAAACATCACCTATCAGCACTAATTATGGACATATATTTCCCATGGGTACATTCCCTCCCATTTCTACTTTCTGAAGTTCCTCTGTATTGTTAAATGTTGGAAAGCATTGTTGAAATGAAGACTGTCGGTCCTATTTAAAGGTATAAGAATTAAAAATGTAAGAATGCGTTAAATAGATTTGTTACCCTGCAAAAAAGAAGCTTTGGGGCCAAGCTTAGGGAGAGAAATGGTATCTGCTTTCAGGTATTGGAAGGGCCATGGTATGGTAAAGAATTAGTCTCATTGATATACTTAACAATACAGGACTGTGTGCAGCAGTGATAGGAAGTCAGATGTGGCATAGGGAAGGTAAGTGCAATGTACAGATTGCAACTCTTCATGTGTAAAAACAGCTTCCCTATCTGGGAAGAGTTTCTTGTCACTACTGGAGAGCAGACTGAGCTCCCAGCTGTGTAGTGGGCAGGAGGCTGGGCTAACGTGAACCCCCTGATGGTGCCTTTGCAGGGCAGGGGCTGAACTAGACTTTGACCTCTAAGGGTCCAACACTGAAAATCAGTGACTTTCTTCTATAGCAGTAGAGAACCACCTCCGATTTTGACCAGTAGAATAAAGAGGGAACTTGAAGAAATTCCTGTTTAAATTCCATAATCCTGACAGGGATATATACAATGGATTATAGATAAGGCAATAAAAACATTGGCTGAAGTGTAGGCACTGAAAAGCAAGAAGGAAGTAATATATGTAAGAAAATTTTAAAATAATAAAGTTTATGACTTATTAGGAAAATGAAGCAAAGGAAGTAAAGTAGTTCAGACAGTTTAAACCCAAGACAACTTTATTTGGAGAGTTTGGCATGAAATACTTGGTAAATGAGTTTAGGGTAAATAATCGTAAATTCCATTAGTCAGTTCACTTAAGCATTAATCGTTATGCTAGGAAGAAGTAGGCATATAAATGGACAGGCTAGAGGGAGAGACTTTCATAAAAACTATCCATTCTTATCTTAATTGTGTTTTCACTTTTATACAAAGCTCAATGTAAAATAATTTTTGAAAAATATAGAAAATAAAATTTGTATCACCTCTTTTCTCACCATTGGGTGATAACTGTGGTTAATGTTAAAATGCTGCTGCTTAAATCTAGCAGTTTTGGGACTTCGCTATCGGTCCAGTGGTTAGGACTCTGCGCTTCCATTGTACAGGGCATGGGTTCGATCCCTGGTCAGGAACTAAGATCCTGCATGCCGCGTGGCATGGCTAAAAAATAAAATAAAATAAATCCAGTAGCTTTTTCTCTTTACATGTTTACTGTTTTATAAAATTTGGATCTTGTTGGATATAACTGTTTATTCATTTTTTACTTAACATTATATATAGTCAGCATTTTTCTGAGCCTTCATTCTTTAACACTACCATGATTATTAATAAGTACATGGTATTCTATTTTATTAATATATCACAGTTTAGTTAACAGTTTTCTACTGTTGAACATTTAGATTATTTTCATGTTATTTGCTACTATAAATTGTGCCACCATAAATATCTTTATTCAGACATCTCTGCACACATAGCAAATCAACTCCTCAAGAAAAATTTCTGAAAGTAAAATTACTAGATTTAAGGATATTTCGCATTCTGAAGATTCTTAATGCATAGTTCCAAATTGCTCCATCGTGAGGTTTCTTTTTTCTATTGACCCTTGATTATTTTGGGGGGGGGTATAATTTTTTTTTTTTTTGTATTTTGAAGCAGTCTGAAACTTTCAGAGTTAGAAGAATAGTTACAAAGAACCTTTTTGTCTCTGAATTGCAAGTTTTTAAATGGTGCCTATCACCTCCAAATACCTAACTTTATGTGCCTTTCTGCAAACAAAGGTATCTTCCTATAGGACCAAAATACAACCAAGAAAATCATCTAATTCTTATCCCTCATTCAAGATCAGCCCTGTGTTTCTTCCATGTCATTTTAGCAAACGCTTCAGAATCAGGCATCACAGTCAGTTTTTGTTCTCTTCAATCTGGAACAGTTCCTCAGTCCTTCTTTGATTGTCATGGCTTTGACACGTTCGGAGATTATAGGTCAGTTATTTTGCAGAATGCCCTGCAGTTTGGGTTCCAGCCCAGGTTTAATATTCAGGAACGACTCATTGTGAAATAAATTATTTCTAACTCTCTTTGATGGAAATTACAGGTACTATAGGTGTGTTTCCTTTGAATGGATATGCAGATAATGAGCAAAGCGTAGTTACTATTAGCCACCTAATGAAGAATTTAGAAATGTGCTTATTGAATAAACTCTTACGGATTGAATGCAAATGTTATACATAAGTGGAATTTATTATTTATTTATTCTTTTATTTTTTACGAATAATGTACAATGTTAACAACGTTCAGTTTTAAGACTAATCTACAAGCAAGGGAGACTAAAATTGTACCCAGCTATTGCTTTTCTTCTCTTTTATAGCTATTATCTTCCTAAAAAGTTCACCCAATGTAATATTGAAGAGTATCATGACTTCCTGAATAGTGGAGGTGGTGCCTGCCTTTTCAACAAACCTTCTAAGGTAATAAGTGTGATCAGAGTTATTAGTTATTAATCTTTCTAAAGTATTGTAAACACAATTTTTCATTCATTGTGTCTTATAAAAGAAAGCTTTTCAACTAGCTTATATATACACATTCTAGATACACTAAATATCTACATTTCTAAGTTGAATTAATCTTGGGCATTTGGGGTTATTCTGATGGGAATAAAAAGCAGGTAGAAATTAGTTTTGCTTTCTGAAAAATGTCCATTTTCTTTTTATATGGCCAAATGAGGATTCAGGGTTAGCTTACAAAAATGGTTTCACTTTGCCTTTCTTTTTCATGTTCTTGATACATTCCCCCTCCCCTGACTTTGGATACTGAATCACAATTCATACTGGTAGAAAAGGAGGCCTGTCTCCCCTCTTTACTCCCCACCACTGCCTTTCAGAATGAGCAGTACGATCAAAATGACAATACTTCTCAATATAAAAACTAAGTCTGCTAAAAAGGAGGTCTGTACTGAGACTGTCAGAGGATTTCATAGCTTGCAGAGCATCCTCTGGTTACTGACTAGAAAACAGGTCTTCATCATACATTTGGAAGACTTCCCATGTTAAAGAAGAGTGTCTTGTCCTCGGTAATTATGTGAACTATGAAGTGCTTCCCTACATCACAGTGATACGTGGCATTGCCTTTGTAATCATTTACCTGGTTTCATTCTCTGTTCACTCCAGTGAAATGTAGGAAATTTCATACTGCACTGAAAAGCAAATTGACAATTTTAAGACCCTTTCCAAAAGCTTCAGAAGGGATATTGGAACTAAATTCCTGCTTCTGTAAATGAAAAACAATTCAAGTCTTTTAACCAAACTAATTGATTATTCTGAGCCCAGAGTAAGAGAATAACTGTGTTTTTTCATCTGGAGAGTTTTAGTTTTGGCTTTCAAAGCTGCCTCATGCATTATGATCCTTTCAACTAAAAATGAAATCTAGAGATGAGTTGATTCTTTTGTAGGAGAGGAGAGAGTATTTGAAATTAGATGGGGACTTTTGTTGTTGTTGTTGCTTTCTCGATTTTTTTGTTTGTTTGTTTGCTTGTTTTTTCCTTCTGGTTGGTTAAGAAAGTGTGTGTGTGTGCGTGCATGCATGTGGGTGTGTACTCATTTCCATTCTATAATATGTAAACTTGTATTAACTTTTGAATGAATATTATATATCTGGAACATAGCAGCTATTTACTATTTATTAGTTTTACCTATCACCATAAGATAAATTATAATCAAAAGATAATAAAATCAGCAGAAAGTTAAAAAATATAAAAGTCTCAAAATATACTCTTGTACAGGCCAAAAACTGCTTCCATCTCTGGGGCAAATTATTATTGCTGTTCTCTGCAGAGCTATCTTAATAGGAAGAGTTGTATTTTATATTAAATAAATCAGTGGATTTATTAATTTTTGTGATGTTTTCCCTATTGTCCATGAAAAAACTTTGTTTCACAAGGAAATAACAGTTAATAAAGGGCTTTTCGCAGGTAATTGAACTTGATCCTCATAACAATTCATTAAGTAGATGGGAAGCTAATATTATTATTATTCCTGTCTTAAATACGAAAACACTTGGGCTCTGAGATGGCAAGCCATTTGCGCAAGATAAGTAGCTGAGCCACAATTTGAATCCAGATGTCTGACTCCAAATCCTTTGCGTCCTGTTTGAAATGAAATTTCAGGAGTCCATCTGGCTTGGTTTTAGTCAATGCCAAGATCATCTTTTATTTTGATGACACTTATCAGACCCTGCTTGATAGGTATATTATATATGAAAATATGATTAAGTATGAAATGGAAACAATATTAGATACTATGTTCTAAAGTTTCCAGTTCTAAAATTCTGAAGTCATACTTTGCAGTTTAGGAAAATAAAAATATATTTTGGAATGACTGTCAGGCCAGAAGTGTAGGTGTGGCACTCGTGGTCTCTCGTAAGGTCTTTGATATTGATTTTTCTGCATTTTAGTGCCCTTTTTGGTTTTCATTCCACAGCTTCTTGATCCTCCTGAGTGTGGCAATGGCTTCATTGAAACTGGAGAGGAGTGTGACTGTGGGACCCCGGCAGTAAGTCTCTGGGTGTTGGGATGATTTCTTTAGGCTGTTCGGGGTTATTCCAGGTTCACACACTGAAACAGTTGCAAGAGCAAGTGTTATGCCTAGAAATTTCATAAGATTTGTGGAAGAAAGATGCTTACTTTGAGGCTGTACATTGGTTTTAGAAAATATCCTGGTACTTTCAGGAAAATGACACCATTCTCTGACGTTTTGCCCATGTTTATATTCCTTAGGAATGTGTCCTTGAAGGAGCAGAGTGTTGTAAGAAATGCACCTTGACTCAAGACTCCCAGTGCAGTGATGGTCTTTGTTGTAAAAAGTGCAAGGTAAATAAATGTTGATTAATAACCAGCTGAAAGAAAAGAGGACATCTTTGATTAAATTGTTAAGGCTAGGTAAATATAACCAAATAACAATAGTAAGACCTAACATTTGTTGAGTGACTAAGTGCCAGGTGCTTTACAGGAACCTCACAAACTTTGTCAGGAGTAGTTACTATTTTTATTCCCATCTAACAGATGAGAACACAGAAGCTTGTAGTGATTAAGTAGTTTTCCCTGGGTCTTATACCAAGTCAGGAGCTAGGGCCTGAATGTTTGTAATCCCCAGAGTTTGTCCTCTCTCTACTGCCTCTCTCAGGAGCATGCACATTAAATGAAACCATTTAGGGCTTCCCTGGTGGCGCAGTGCTTGAGAGTCCGCCTGCCGATGCAGGAGACGCGGGTTCGTGCCCCGTTTCGGGAAGATCCCACATGCCGCGGAGCGGCTGGGCCCGTGAGCCATGGCCACTGAGCCTGCGCGTCCGGAGCCTGTGCTCCGCAAATGGGAGAGGCCACAACAGCGAGAGGCCCGCATAACGCAAGAAAAAAATAAACAATAAAAAAAAAAATAAAAAAAAAATAAATAATTTCTCAAAAAAAAAAAAAAAAAAAAAAAAAATGAAACCATTTAATGTGCTATCATATATATGTAATAACAATAATAAAAATAAAATGTAATATAATTTAAATGAAACTACTTTTTGAATGATGTGTTTCCTTTATTGTAAAGCCAAGTGGATATTCAATAGATCCTTCCCTTCTTGGTGCTCAGAGCTTGGTATATCTCTTGCATTAGCTGTTGAGGGAACAAAAGAATAGACATTAAGACACCTTTCATGTGTTGTGCATGAGAGTTTAATGCATCGTTATACACCTTGTCTGTTTTCATCCTCCCAACAGTATCCTATACCTGCCCCCAAATATTTAAGCCTCTACATCAAGACAACAGTTACTTAGGGCTTACCTTGCGCAAAGAAATCTTTTTTCTCTTCTCATATAAAATCTGGTACAATATTCTACATTATTTCTGAGGTTCAATATCTTCCTCTCCCTCAGGTCTGTACATTTTATGGAGGCAGAGCCAGGCACTTACACTGTAATTGGTACAGGTCTTCAGTAAATAATTGTTGAATGAATGAATAAATATGCACAGCACTCTCTTACTGATTATTTGCTGATTGACTAACTTTAATGAGTTAAGAGAGGGTGAAATATGAACCTATCATATTAAATACCCTATTGTGTGCCAGAAACTGTACTAAGCACTTTCAAATTATCTCATCCTATACCCAGGTTTTGTAACCCTGGCACTGTTGACATTTTTGGCCAGATAATTCTTCATTGTGAGGGTGTGTCTTACGTCTTGTAGGATATTTAGCAACATCCCTGACTTCTACCTACTAGTTGCCAGCAGCATCCCTCCAAGTCATGACACCACAATGTCTTCAGACATTGCCAAATGTCCTCTTGTTGAGACTGCTGTCTTAGATAATGCTCATAGCTACACTTTTGGGATGGGCGTTATTATCCAGATTTTTCCAATGAGCAATGCCAGTCTCAAGGAAGTGAAATAACCTGCATAGGCTCACTCAGCTAGTAAGGAATAAATGTGCAGTTACATCCCACATTTGCTGGCAGCAATTTCTGTTGTTTCCACTTTACCACTGTGTCTCTGGCAGCGTTATAAGAGAAGCAAAGCGCAGGCAGAGATCTCTGAAAGCACTCTCTAAAAAAGGAAGATTAAACCAAATGTTAAACAGACATTCTTTTATTTTGGCTACCTCAACTGTTTATTCTCTCAGTTCCTCCAGCTGCTTTCCAGGGATCCCCAATCATTTATTTTAATTCTCAGTGTTTTAAGTCTGCCCATCCATAAAATGCATTTAATTATGCGATTTTTTTCTTGGATTTCTACAGTTAGACTCTCTGTGATATAATCATTGAAAGGAACAAGTACAAAATAATAAAATTAAAATATACAATAAAATGGCAGGGTTAACTATCCCAGAATATGTTACAACTTTACCAGTCAAGTAAGATCTCTTCTGCCACTTTCTCTACCCCACACCCCGACTCTCATCCCTAAAGGAGTCAGGCAGAAGAGTGAACGGAAAGGAGGGAACGGAAGAACAAGATGAGAAATCATATGTATCTCTGTTTTCTTCTGTATGTATTTATAATAATGTATCTGTAAGTCAGAGTTGGCAAACACTTTCTGTAAAGGGCCAGATAGCAAATAGTTTAGGCTTTGTGGGTTATAAGGTCTCTGTTTCAGTTACTCAACTCTTTCTTTGAAAGCAGCCATCGAAAATACAGAAGTAAATGGGTGTGGCAGTGTTCCAATAAAACTTTAGGTATAAAAACAGGTAGCTGGGCTTCCCTGGTGGCGCAGTGGTTAAGAGTCCGCCTGCCAATGCAGGGGACAGGGGTTTGTGCCCCGGTCCGGGAAGATCCCACATGCCGCGGAGCGGCTGGGCTCGTGAGCCATGGCCGCTGAGCCTGCACGTCCGGAGCCTGTGCTCCGCCACGGGAGAGGCCACAACAGTAAGAGGCCCGCGTACCGCAACAAACAAACAAACAAACAAACAAAAAACAAACCAAAAAAAACAGGTAGCCAACCAAAGTTTGTCCTCAAGCCATGATTTGGGGACTCATTGGTTATTTACTTCTTTACTCTTTTTCTCCTTTTATTTGTATGTAAATTCCAAGAGGGGAGGGATTTGGCTTGATTTATTTACTGCTTTATCCCAGCACTTAGAGCAAGTTCTCCTTTACTATGCTTTCTTTCAGAGGTTTCCTGACAGTTCTTGAACATTTACACTCTCACATAAACTCTACCTTAAATCTGCTCGTACTTCTACCTCAGAAGTTCTAGAATTGTAGCTTGCACCAATCCCAAGGAGGAAGAGAACCAGAGTATATGAAATTAACTTCTCTTGCTTATTTCCTTATTTTTATGGCTTATGTACTCCCACTGAAATGTAAGTTCCTTGCCAGCAGGGTTCTTGTGTTTTCTTCTCCACTGAGCCTCCAGTGGCTAGAGAGTCCCTAGCACATTTTAAGTGCCTAGCAAACACTTGGTGAATGAATGAATGAACACAAGTTTTGTTCCGATCTTCTGAAAAATATCTGTTGAACTCCTGATTGCACTTGGCAGTGTGCTGCTCATGTTCTATGGACAGCAGGAAACTCAAATGCCTGGAGGGTCGTGAACAAGGGAGAGAAGATGAAAGTTGTATGTGTGTGTGTATGGATGGGTGGGGAGGGGCCCCAAATACTGTGTATGTTTGTGTGAGCAGAGATAAAAGCATGGAAGGACCCCTCCCCAAATAGTAACATTTTGGAGCAGGAAAGAGAGTGGGATTAAAGAGGGAAGGAGAAAGATGATAATTTTATAGATCTCTTTGTTTTGTTATAATGAATACTCTTGCAATTTATGAATCCAACAAGCATAAAATTTAGTTGTACAACTCCCACACTTACAAAAAATACTTGAGTTGAAAATAGACAAAAAAACTCTCATACACAAATACAAATAATAGAAACATTAAAAAAGGAATAAAAGACCAAGCTATAGATCTGTATAAAAATTAGGCAGGAGAGATGGTAAAGGAAAGCATGGGAGGAAACAGCTTTGCCAGAAAATCTAACTTTTACAATTCAGTCCAAAATGTAACTTCCAAATTCTTGGCTGATGAGGTAAAAAAGAAAAATATGATAAAGGTGCCAGTAAGAATGAAGGGTAAAGTGTAAATCCAAAAGCTATTTGGAAGGAAGAATTACTAGAACTTGGACTGACTGTCCTTCTGGTACAGATGTACCATCAAGCACATCCTATTTTAACAAGATCTTGTAAGGCTTATGTGTGATGACTATGCAAATTACTTTATATGTGAGAAACTCTTTCTGAGAACAATTAAGTTGATATTTCATGCAGTAACTGTGGTTTTCACAGATTTCCATCTTAAACTAGTTTAAGGTATTCCTATCCAAAAAAATATTCATTTCTCTTTTTTTTAAGATGATACTGTGAGAGTGTTTTTCCTTCGACAGCTTTGCACATTGATTTTTGTTCATTTTAGTTTCAGCCTATGGGAACTGTATGCCGTGAAGCAGTAAATGATTGTGATATTCATGAAACATGCTCAGGAAATTCAAGCCAGGTAATTTACGAATAATTTCTCTAAACCCGATGGGGGAAAAGTAGGAGTATGTTTAGTGTGCTGACCCCCAGGTGACATGGAAATGGACAAGATACTCATGTTTCTCTTTCATGTCAACTCTCACTCTCCTTTTATTAATTTTTTGAGAATTGAAGTTTCAGTAATCAAAGCTTGAGCAGATGTTTGGCGTGATTTTGTCTTAATGTTGAACTAATTTAAGACTGTATACATACGTGCCTTAACTATTTTGTTTTTGTTTAAAGTAGAGGGTAAAAGGCATTTGCTTTTTGTCTAGCTAGTGAAGGAGGAATCAAAGAGACTCTCTTCAGCTGGTTGAAACAGGAGTCAGCCAAGGCAGAGAGACCCACGGGGTACTGGGTTCTGAAAAGGGACCTGTCTTGACTCTTGTTTATCTGACACAGCTTGCCACTAATAGCTGCTCTTGAATTTAATATCATTTAGTTGTCAGTAGGGAAGATAGGGAAGTTGATAAACTTTGTCAGGGGTTCACAGATTTCAGTGTACATGTATGTAGGCAGTCCTTACTTTGCATATTAGTGCAGGAACACAGATGACCATGCAAGCTGAAACCACGTAAAGTTATTCTAGTAATCAATGGAAAAAGTTACAGTTGTTCTGCGATCTTTACAAAATGTCAGATGATTAAAAACTCTCTTACTGTTGGTCTTAAACGAATAGGGAAACAAAAAAAATAAACTAACGTTTATTTAGCATATTAAATTAAAACAGAAACACTGAAAATTATAGTACTTTATTTCTTTGTTAAAAAACTTACCAAGAGTAGTTTGAGCTGTGCTTGCCTTCTCCTGGTCAATAAACCTTATGATACTTGGTGAGCATCTTTTCTATGCCTTGTTGAATTGCCACACTCCTTTCTAAGATTGTATCAGCTTTTGACATTTTATCTTTTGTGCTTTCAATGTCCTGAAATATCTCCAAGAGATGTGAAGCTGTGAATGGGAAGTTTTTGCTGAACAGCGGTATCAACGTTCCATTCCCATAGTGATTTTTTTCTATCACACCATTTACATTTGACTTGAATTTCTCTTCCAATGTCATCACTTTTCATTTCTTTGGTGCACTTTCATCTTTGTTGGCCAGTTTCCTCTTTCAATTATTCAATTTTGTAAGATGTCACATGGTATCGCCCAGAGAGAGAGAGGTAACAATCTACATTCTCTGTTGTCCGTGCATGAACTGAATGAACAGATGCTCAGCGACCAATCACCAACAGACTTTGAAAGAAGTGACTACATGGGTCATTGACTGTGATGGGCATCTCTTGTTTACCTAGTGATCAGTGGACTGAAGAGCTAGTAGCAAAGTTTGTACTTCATGCAATTACTCACAGTTAATCTGTTGTGGTAACTGAAATTGGAACTGTGTCCTTGGGGTACTGGTGTTGTTTAACAAAACCACAGTGAGTGAAATTCATGCTCCAGTGTGAGTGAAATTCATGCAAAATGAAGACTGCCCACATCTTTTTTTCTCTAGAAAAGAGGGATTCAGTAGTGGTATATCTACTTTAACCATTAAAAATGCTTTATTTTAAAGGTAGTCATCCTAAGAGATTAAAGATCTTTTGTGTAAAAGTACTTTCCTTTCCTACCGTCTAATTAGCATTATGTTTCTAAGCTAACACCTAGTGATGATGGAGATACAGTGACTGGGCTCGGGGAATGAAAGTATATTAGAGCAACTTCTTTGAAATGTGATTATATGATAAGCAGGGATTTTAAAAGAATTCTAAATCCGAAAATGATGTACGTACAAAGATGCTCCTGTTCCATTGGTCGTAACAGCATAAATTAGAGATAATTATAACTAAATATTTTAGTACATTGATTATATGGTTTGTTAGCTCAGGGCAATGTGCTACAGCTATAAAGATGATACTTGCCAAAGAGTTTATTATGACATGAAGAAACTTGTATGATGAAAGTAAAGGACTGAAACAGAATATAAAACATCTATAACTTGATTACACTTATGTTTAAAAATATCACATTTTGTAGAAAATGGTAGAGGAAAAAAATGTCCCAAAATATAAAAAATAGTTGACTTTGGGTGGTAGGAAAATGAGAGACTTTTGTCTTTAATTTTTCCTACTTTTTCACATTTTCTAACTTTTCTCAAATGAGTATGTAATTACTATAATGCTAGAAAAGAGGTATGATAAATTTAAAAATTACACTCTGTTTCTATCCACATAAGAATGCTTTGCAGTCTTTTCTGCAATTGCTACAAGGAAAGAAAAGGGGGTGGGTGGGCTATAAAGCATGTCTTTTTCTAACATGTCCGGGGTAGACCTTTGCTTGAGAGTCATTTTAAGTGTAAGGGCAATGTTACTTCTCATGGTGAAAAAGAGGAAACCATACCTATGGCTCCATCTGTTGTCATCTTCCTTGCTTTTTGTCTTGTGCTCTTGTTTTTCTTGCTCTGAGGAATAGTGTGTCTGTGTAAGTTAGCTGAGTCATTGCTGTCAGTTCTTTTTATTTGTAAATAAGGATTTACAAATCAACTACTTTTGCCTCTGGTAGATCCATATTTTTAGGGGAAAGTGTACCAATTGTTGCATTTCCTTTTGATTTCTCTTGATCTTGTTTGTTTTTATTTTCAGATGGTTTGGGAGGCTGTCCTATATTATCAGACTTTATTTTTAAAATGAAAATAAATTTATAAAGGGATTAGCTCATCTTGATATTTTTCTGTGCATTTGGTTCATACTTCTGTTTTCTTTTCCTAGTGTTCCCCCAATATTCATAAGATGGATGGTTATTCATGTGATGGTGTCCAGGTAAGTTACTTCAGCTTTCCCTAAATGTTTCATGTGTACCAGCATGAAAGAAATACGGAAGTCTTATCAAAGTAGGAAGATCATATTAAATGTTTTGTAATCAACTCTGAAGATAAAAGGCCTTTATAATACTCATCTACTAGTTTTCCTAGTCATGTTTACTTTTTCAGTTATCTGACAGAAGGGGACATCGTGTCGCTAATGGGTATGCTTTTCCATTTTAGGGAATTTGCTTTGGAGGAAGATGTAAAACCAGGGATAGACAATGCAAATACATCTGGGGGCAAAGTGAGTAAATAGTATGGCTTGATCCTTTTCAAAGTATGGTAACTGGCCCAAAGACATGTGAGCTAGAAATAATTTTTCAACTACTTTATGACTAGGGGATTTTCAAAGCCACTGCAGGTCTTAGCAGGGGCACTTTTGTGGAAATTAGAGAAAAGCACCTTCTTTGAGAAGATACAGCTCCATACCTCTTGGCTAGCTGGCAGTGTCTTTGGACAGAAAGTGTCTTTGCTGCCAGGCAGGTAAAGTCCACTCTAGTGCATGCAGCTTGGAGAATAGAGCAAACCTGGGTTTTAGCTACTGTTATGCTGTCTTTAGTATCCTTAGACAAAACCCATCAACCACATGGAATGGACATGGACCCTGGATAGGGCACCCTTGGATAAGAACTGTAGCATTTTAGCTAGAATTGCTTTTTCTTCCTTAACTCTCTTTCTTAAACTCCAGCTGGTTTTCCTAGTTATAGGTAAATTTCTGCTGAGGTATTTCTGCCATATCATAAAGATATTTTAATGTTGTTTCTTTCAAAATTCATCAGATTTTCAGAGGGAAACAATATAACATTTATATCTAAAACATATTTAACTTGAATGTATATTTAAATGTGATATATTTTCCAGAAGTATTACTGGCCCTTTTGAAAGCAGTTTTTGTTGTAAACTCTTCCAAAACATGATTTGTATTAGAAAGCAAGCTATAAATATAATGATAATCCTTAATTGTCACAAACAGTGGCTATAATCCTTTTGGGAGGGGAAGTGTATGCTCTCTTTGGAACAACTAGAGAAACATGGGGATGGGAGAAGAATTTAGTTATGTAGGTTTATGCTCTGGACAAAGAAATATGGTTTTTGCTTCTTCCCCTTAAGAAAAATTAGTGGCTGACAGCAAGAAGTAGGAAAAGAAGCTACCAATATAATTAATTTAAAATATATCTATATATACATACCGACAACCATCTTTGATTAGTTTGCAAAAGTTGTTTTGATCTAAACTCTTGGTTGGCTCCATCTATCAACCTTGGCTTTAGCAAAAGTAATCCTGACAAAGATGCTGACATGACTTAAAAATGTTATTTGACTTTCAGAGATTTAACTGGAATTCAAGTTTGTTTAAAAGTAGAGTCACATTTTTCGATAGCTGTTAAGAATTAATAAACAAGGTGGAAATACTGCTGTTTCTTGAATCTTTAATTATAGTACAGCACTCGTGTAATAAAATTGTCTTTATGATTCATAAAAGTTGCTGCGTGAGAAATTCGTGCTTTATATTTGGCACTGAGATTAAAGCATTGAGTATTTATTCAATGAAACATTTGGTAGCATCTTCCCCTAATTACTGGCCAAATTCTGAGGAGTGTTGTTCTTAGAACCTATAGCCTGAGTCCTGTCAAAGATCTAAATAGATTTGTTTTCCAAGTTTCAAAGGAGCAGTTGTGAAAAATGTACCTGAGTGTTGGATGCTTTTGGTATAGGGAACTCTTGTGAACCATAGCTACAATTTTTGGAATTGATAACATTGTAGTGAAGGAGAGTCCTTCGTGGGTGTTTTCCCCTTACTGCAGACATGCTGAACGACTCATGTGGTGTATCTCTCACTGATAGAAAACTCTATTCTGCTTCAGAGGTGACAGCATCAGACAAATACTGCTATGAGAAACTGAATATTGAAGGCACCGAGAAGGGTAACTGTGGGAGAGACAAAGACACATGGATACAGTGCAACAAACGGTGAGATGGAGAAATTAGCTAGAGTTTATACCTCAGTTGCAGGCACTACTTTTTGAGCGACCAGGACTTTCCTGTTTTCTGCATCCTCTAAAGCATTCTCTTCACCTCATCTCTTCCCATAGTTCCAGCATCACCTTTGCAGAAAGCTCCCAAATCTTAACACACGTTCTGACCTCTCCCCTAAGGCTCAGGCCATGCCTGTAGCTGCCTCAGGACTTTCTCACCTAGAAGACACCTGTCAGCATCTCAAAGGCAACAAAAATTAAAGCCAGCAGAATATGTCCTCAGTGCTGGTAGATTGAAGTAACTGGCTCTGACTTTTATAAAGGCCTCTTTTTGCCAAACATCTTAATATCTCACTGTCTTTCTGTTTAGAAGCCTCAGGGTGATCCCTGATGCCACCTGCCCTCTGGCTCCTTGTCCACATGCCAAATCATGTTCATTATTCTCTTTTACTCCTCTACGCTTTGTCTTTAATTCATCCCTTCATTTCTACTTCTATTGTATTATCCCAACTAAGACCTATATCAACTCTTCAACTATTACGAAAGCCTGTTACTATGTTTTCTATGCCAGCAGTCTCCAGCGTGCTCCCATCAGAGTAATCTTTTCCTGAATCTTTTTGACTATGTCAAAAATTCTTTGTTCAAATTTCACTGGTTCCACATACCTAATTAATAGTAAGAATAATACCCAACATCTATTGAATGCACACTATGTGTTAAGCACTGTATTACACTTTACATAAGCTATATCATCTAATCTTTATGGCAGTTTGCCCTGTTTTATGGAGGAGAAAACCAAGACACAGTTAATTAATTTGACCAAGTTCATGTAACTAGGATATAACAGAAGCAGAATTAGAATTCCGGCAGTCTGATTTTAGAGCTCCCTCTTCACCACTTTGCTGAATGTCATACTGTCTTGTTTAACAAACAAAATTCAACCTTAGCTTGGCCGTGTACCTCTTCCTCAATTTGGCCCCAACCTACATATTTTGTTTTCTCTGCTCTTCCAAAGTCTAGCAAACCTGGCCATTTCTAATACATTTTATTGTCCTACCTCCACGCCTGTGCTTGTGCTATTCATTCCTTAGGAAGCACCCTCTATACCCACTCCATTACCAGCCAAAAATTTAGCCATCCTCAAAGCCCCACTTGGACAAAGCTCTCTCTGTAAATTATTTCTGGATTTACTCTGGAAATAAATCCTCTCCCTATTCTCCACTGAACTCCCACAGCCCTTTGTACTATTTTTCTGGCCCTTTTTGCCAACTCTATGTTTTATAATTGTTTAATGTATATGATTCTCTTCTCATCCAGAGTATAATTTCCTTGGGGATAAAAATCATGTCTAATTTGTTTATATATCCTAAAGTATTTAGTAAACTCCAACAAAAAAATGTTCAGTGCATATCTCTTCTGTGTTAAGAAAGCATTTTCATTTATGATAGATATAATAAAATGATGATATAACTTTTAAAAAATATTTTTCAAGAATGAAATAATACATATTTTTCTATGTTGGTGATAGATACAAGTCTTAATTTTTCTCTTTTTCTATCTGATAAAGCCTAATATTTCCACGTATAGTCTTGCTGGCCTGCTAATCAGTCTTTGTAAGATATTTATTAGAACATGTATTTATCATTATTCTATTAACAATTAAAATGTGTTAAATATAGAGAATAAGTAAGATAGTATTTAGCACAAAGGAAAATACTTTACAAGTTAAACTAGAATTGTATGTGATAGCTGGGGGAGTAGTGACATATATTGAAAAAGGGATCATGAGCCTATGTTGTTGAGAATCTACAAAGTACATGAAACGTATAATCTCTTCTTTAATTCTGGTGCCACAGGTTGAAGAAAGCACTGTATTCTAAAAGCATACTCATCCAAAGATCATTCATTCACTTATCAAATATTTTTATAAATGTTTTAGTATATCCAGTGATGTGTTATGGGGAAAGAGATTCGGATATAAAAAAAAGTCTATTTCATGTGTAATTTCCTTTAGATAAATACTAAATGGACAATAAAGGAAAGGCTAGAGAACAGTTGGGATTTTGGTGCACCAACAAGAGTTTCAGAGAAGACACTTTTTAAAGCAGGGGTAAACTAATTTGAGCTCATTTTATTTTGCTTATAATTTGAGGAAATAGTATAGTTGATAAACAAATGCTAAAATTAGATAAGGTTATTGTTCTAACTTTACAGGATTTGTTATGTCTTTGGAGAAAGAAGTAAAGTAAATACTTCATACTTTTTTGACACAGGGATGTGCTTTGTGGTTACCTCTTGTGTACAAACATTGGTAATATCCCAAGGCTTGGAGAACTCGATGGTGAAATCACATCTACTTTAGTTGTACAGCAGGCAAGAACATTAAACTGCAGGTAATGATCTAACCATTCTATGAGAACATTAGTCATCTTATTTCCCAGGAATGTAGCTTAGGATTACTTCTGTTTTCAGTCCATGTGTATGTTAGTAAGATGAAATGGACTCTAGTCCATAGAGGTGATTAAGGAAATCCTGACAGAAAAGATATGAAAAGAAGAGAATTAGTTGACTGCAGAATGTTATATGGTGGCTAGAGTTATGTTTAATTGGTCAGTAAACTCTTTCAGGGTTCAGTTTGCATTTCATTCTTACTAAGGGAAGTGAAAGAGGATTTCTGGGTAAAATCAGTAGATTAAATATATGCATCTTCTTTTGCTCCCTTCTGAAATCCCACTAAAATGACACCAAATGGATCTTTTTAAGAATTCATTTATCCACAGGGAAGCAGAGAAAGGGAGGGGAAACAACAGCAACAAAATTTTGGAACGTGGAGAGCAAATAGATGTGTGGTAGATGATTCTCAAAACTAAGAAAGACAAATATACGATATTGCTTATATGTGGAATCTAAAAAAAGGGTACAAATGAACTTATTTGCAAAACAGAAGTAGAGTCACAGATGTAGGAAACAAACTTATGGTTACCAGGGGGTAAGAGGGAGAGGAGGGATAAATTGGGAGACTGGGGTTGACATATACATGCTACTATATATAAAAAATAGAGGGCTTCCCTGGTGGCGCAGTGGTTGGGGGTCCGCCTGCCGATGCAGGGGACACGGGTTCGTGCTGCGGTCTGTGAGGATCCCACATGCCGCAGAGCAGCTGGACCCGTGAGCCATGGCCACTGAGCCTGTGCGTCCGGAGCCTGTGCTCCACAACGGGAGAGGCTGCAACAGTGAGAGGCCCGTGTACCGCCAAAAAAAAAAAAGAGAGAACTAGTAAGAACCTACTATATAGCACAGAAAACTCTACTCAATACTCTGTAATGGCCCATGTGGGAAAAGAATCTAAAAAAGAGTGGATATATGTATGATTCACTTTGCTGTACACTAACACAACATTGTAAATCAACTGTACACCAATAAAAATTAAAAATAAAATAGATAAACAACAACAACAAACAAACAAACAAAAACTAAGAAAGCTGAAGTCCTAAGTCAGTAATGGGGAAAACCAAGAAATAACCCAATACATACTGTCAGTCCCGAAAGACTCAAAAATGGGCAGTGTCATCTACTTCTGGAAGAGGGAGTAAATGAGTTGGAGATTGGGAAAGGAGCTAAAATAAAGAAGATAGGTGAAGTCTGTTAGAGAAGCTGCTAGATCCACAGATTGCTTCCCTGACTCAGCTAAACTGGGGATTGCTCACCCTCCCATGAAAGATTTGAGCTTTACGGTCTGCAAAAAATAAAACAGAAGGTTTCCAAACTGAAGGACAGCAGGAAATATCAATATCAGATTTGTATAGAAGTGGTCCAGCCTCATTGGTATTCAGTCAGAAAGTCCTAGAATTTCTAATCATCTGTCTGGTTCCCCAACTCAAATATGAGCAGATTATCAGATTTGTGAAGAAAGACTCTAACATGAAAAAAGAGAGAGAGAGGGAGAGAGAAACAAACAACAGAAAATACAGCAACCAGCTATCAACATTTATGAGAGATAAGACATTTCTATCATGAAACAAGAATAGAGTGCTATTTTTAAAAATGAGGAACATTAAGAAAAGAAAAGAAAGGCTGTTGGAAATTAAAAACACTATGGCAGAAATTAAATTCAATAGTTGAAATTATCTCCCAGAAAATAGGGCAAAGAGGCAAAGAAAGGGAACATAGAGCAGAGCTCCCCATTTTGGAACGGAAATAATAAAGAACAGAGAAAACAGCAGGGAGGAAATTAGCAATGAGTACCTCCAAGAGCATTATCTAGAACTGCTGGAGTTGAATTTCCATATTCCCAGGCTCACCAAGTGCAAGGTGCAATGAGCGAAATTAGAGACACATCAAAACTTATCGTTAGGAAATTTCAGAACCTTAGGACAAAGAAAAAGATCCCAACTGTTTCCAGAGAGGAAAGAAAGAAAGGATCAGGCATTAGAATGGTTTAGGGTCTATCAACAAGAGCCCTGAGATCCAGAAGACAACGGAGAAAATGATTTCCAAACTAGAATTCTGTACCCAGGCAAAATATGAATCAAGTGTGAGGGTAGAAAATAAAGTCACATTTAAATACGCAAGTTTCCCCCGAGTTTACTCCCCTAAGTCCTTGCTCAGGAAGCTATTAGAAATTGTGCTGCACAAAATGAATAAGTAAACTAAGAAAGAAACACAGGGAATTTAGGAAACAAGGTACTCACCATGGATAGAGATATGGCAATCCTCCAATGAATCGTGAGGGGAAATCCAAGATGTCCAGCTCTGAACCATTTACAGGATCCAACCAAATCAGATAGGAGCAGAGGAAACTTCACGTGGAAACTCCAGGAGAGATTATTTCAGGAAGGTGAACTGATGTTCAGGCACATCTTAAGTGGAGATTTTGACAGCAGAATTGGACTAATTTTGAGGTAGTAATACTTCAACAAACAAATAAGAGACTTGCTAATCTGAGGGAAAACAAAAAGTTGTACAAGGAAGAGAAAGGGGTTTAATTATGGCGTACTATATCACTCAACTAAATAACATTTACATAATCATAATAATGCACAATTTGTTATTGATTTAACTATCGATCAACAAAATATGTGATGGAAGGTAGGGGAGAGATGAATTCTCAAATTCCATAGAGGGAAGTCAATTGATAATACTTAAAATGGAAAAATTAAAAATAGTGATACAAACTCATTATTTAAAGATATGTATGTAAAAAACAAATGAGTCAATTAAGAGTAGAAACTGGTTTCCTTCAGGGAGGGATATACGGAGCAGTAGGGGGCAGTGGATTGCTTTATTGCATTTTAAAAACCAATTTGTCTCTATGTGCATGCATAATTTTGCTAAAAATAAAAAGAATGGAGATTTTTATAGTAGCACTGACATGGTACCATATGCATAAATTGATTATGAATATACATTTTCAGTTCCCATCCTGTTTATTTAATTTATTTATTTTTATCCTGTTTATTTTTTATTCTTGCATAATATGTGGGCTTGCTATTTTAAATAGCTGTTGCAGTAGTATAGTCTTCTCAAATATACAGTTGATCCTTGAACAACACTGGTTTGAACTATGAGGGTCCACTTTTACATGGATATTTTTCAATAAATATGTGCTACAGCACTACACAACTCCCCATTGGTTGAATCTGTGGATGTGGAACTTGGATTTCCGACTGCAGGGAGGGGTGGCACTCTGAAACCCCACATTGTTCAAAGGTCAGCTGTAATTTGTTAATAGAACAATCTTTTTTGGGAAATGTAAACCCAAACCAAAAATTCTCATCTTTGTTTGAAATATATTTGACATCTTGAAACCTACTTATCAAGTCAAATGCTAGTAATAATGCCTTACTTGACTTGTACGTGATAGCCAAGGCAAAATGATAAAGCCATTTCAATTCAGGCCCTTGTTATAATAATTATGTTTAAATCTTAAGATATATTAATATCTCTGAAAGGAATTAGATCAAAAGATTCAATTGCTGTCTCCATTTAAAGGTTGAAAATGTTTATGCTACTGTTTTTTATTAGATAATAAAGAGAAAGAGAAAGTGATATTGCCTACTTTTAAGTTTTTAAGCATGTTCTCAAGATGAATGTGAATTCACGGAATCCCATTTTCTTTTTGCTCTCCATTTATTTTTAGTGGTGGGCATGTTAAGCTTGACGAAGATGTAGACCTTGGCTATGTGGAAGATGGGACACCTTGTGGTCCCCAAATGATGTGCTTAGAACACAGGTGTCTTCCTGTGGCTTCCTTCAACTTTAGTACTTGTTTAAGCACTAAAGAAGGCACTGTTTGTTCAGGAAATGGAGTAAGTATTCAGTACCTCACCATGGGGAACTATTCAGTCCTTTTATATCACAGAAACAGACAAGACCCTAAACTGCTTATTTCTGTAATAATTGAAAACATGCTTGTCCATGTTTCTCTAGCTGGTATGTGAACCTTCATGTGGTCATAGTCATTTGAATATGTCTGCTGTGTAATCTGTGAAAGCCTGGGAATAAGAAAAAATTTAATGTTCCTAACCAAATTCTTCCATCTTCCTCTCCTATTAGGTTAAATTGATCTTTAATATAATGCTAGTTTTCTACAAGTGACTTAGGAGACAAATTTTAACAAACTATAATGGGATAAAAAAGGGAGTGCAAAACAGGGGCAATGGCCACAATATTTAACAACTGGTATGATCCAGGCACTGACCAGTTAGAACAGACCATAAATAACTGCCTTGGCCACAACAGTAGGTACCAGCTGAGGATAACTTCTAGAAATAGAAGCAGAATAATTAAGGAAATGTTTCTCAGAAATAAATGGAAAGAATGGTGGTATTTAAAAGGCCAAATTCTATACGTTAAGTCATATATCTGATAATGTAGGTCCTATATAAGTAAGTTTATAGGTTAAATAAACATGCTCTATTAGTGATTCCAGTTTTGACATTTTCAGTTAGGAATTTGTACACTAACGAAAACTTCTTGTTCTTTTTCTTTTGGCATGTGCTATGATTTTCTTTTTATTCTCCTTCTGGATTCCTTGCTTAAACTGGTTATACTATCCAGTTGAGGTAAAGGACCGCTGTCCTGGAATTGTAAGCCTTCAATCCTGGTCATTCCATGTATATCCCTAAGGGATATGCCAAGAATTTCCTTAGGGAGGTATTAGTAATTGTTACTTTTTGCCAAAGGATAGGGATTCTGATGGCACAGGAGAATAGAGAAGACATATAGTAAGTTGTTCTGCTCCTATAAAGAGATCTGCTAAGTCTTCTTTCCTTAATAATTAAGAGGATGCTAGGGAGAGATGCTTTTTGGGGGGATGGGAGAAAAGAATAATGGAATTCTTTCTTGATCATTATGTTAATGAATAACTGTATCTTATTCATCTAGAAGTCTTGAGTGTGAAAGACAGTTGTGTCAATTAACTATTTGTTTAAGGAATGAGTAAATGAGTGATAGACACAAGTAAATCAGGTGGCAAATAGCATCCAATAATTTTTAATAATTATGCATAATTATTATAAAGGTTATATTCTGTGTATTTTTAATATAACTCTGTATATGTGAAAGAAATTAAAATGAGAAATACAGTAGATATTCTCTATATAGTATACATCATGTAGGTTAAGAGTATGGGCTTGGAATCAGTCTGAGTTTAAATCCCAGCTCTACTCCTTACTAACTGGGTGAGATTGGGCAAACTACTTAGCCTCTCTGTGACTCACTTTCTTCCTCTGTAAAATGGGAATAATAATATTGCCTAGTTTACGGGATTGTTGTGAAGAATCAATGAATTAACACCTGTAATTTATATGTAATGACATAGTGAGTGTCCAATAACATTAGCTATGACTGGGTTTATTATGATCATCATATATCGGTGTCACTGTTCTTGTCACTATGTCACTGGTGCTGTTATATGATATGGAAACATACTTGGAGAAACCAGTTGGCCTCGTTATGGTCTGTTGAAAAGATAGTGGTGAAGTGGGGTCTCAAATCCAGGCCTTTTTTTTTCTTCCTGCATGTTTGTTAATCTGCAGAAATTTGCTAATCTGAATTAATTTGAAATCTGCACTTTGTTAATCATATTTTATAGTTACATTTAGATCTGCATGTATGTTGTCTTCTGGCAAATTCAAGCAGACAAAAGACAAACCTATCCAGTCAAAATCTGTCTCCTGAAACGCTTCTCTGATCTTAATCCTAACTGAATTCTCTCCTACTTCCCACTCCTTTCAAAGTTGCTTTGAATCATAGGATCTAGGTATAGATTCTGTTTCCTGGATATATAAATGAAGACATTATTGTCTGATAATTTTTAAAAATTTGGTGCCATTTTATGTGAATTTTTTTCCTAGGTTCTGTTTGAGGGAATTCTCAGTTTCCATGACTCTGAGGTAGCTAATGTCTAGAGCTTGGGCTGAGGTGCCCAGGTTACGGTTTTGTGAAGCTTTCTTCTCAGACCACTGCAAAGCCTCAGGCCTCCCCTCTTCTTTGTCAGATTTCTCTTTATCTCATCTGCTTCCTAAAAGATGAATAAAATTTTGGTATAAAGATCCTTTCTTTAGAAGAAAGAAAACTTTAGGGACTTCCCTGGTGGCGCAGTGGTTAAGAATACGCCTGCTGGTGCAGGGGACACAGGTTCAAACCCTAGTCCGGGAAAATCCCACATGCCGTGGAGCAATTAGGCCCATGCACCACAACTGCTGAGCCCACACGCCGCAACTACTGAAGCCCATGCACCTAGAGCCTGTGCTCTGCAACAAGAGAAGCCACCTCAATGAGACGCCTGCACACCACAACAAGGAGCTGCCCCCGCTCACCGCAACTAGAGACGGGATCCTCCCAGACCGGGGCACGAACCCGTGTCCCCTGCATCGGCGGCAGGCGGACTCCCAACCACTGCGCCACCAGGGAAGCCCCTGCTTAGTTTTTTAAATCTCCCTCATAAAATTTGAGTTAATGAAATTCAAACCAATCATTTCATTGATTTTTGTTTTAGACGTATAAATTCATTCCTCTGTTAAAATTCACTGTTCCCTCTGGGTCACCTGTTGATCTCTAGAAAATATTTTTTTAAGTACTTGAGTAAGATATAAAGTAGTAGTAGGAAGAAAGTACCAATAAATTTTCAGGCCCATCAAATTCTAGGCATATAATAATTAGAAATTAATGTTTATTTTTCATGCCTCTGCACCAGAGACCTGGCATTGACTCTAGATTGATTTTGGATTTCAGGTTTGCAGTAATGAACTGAAGTGTGTGTGTAACAGACACTGGGTAGGTGAGGACTGCAGCACTTACTTCCCTTACAATGATGATGCAAAGGCTGGCATTACTCTGTCTGGCAATGGTAGGTACTTAATTTGGTCCCATTATGTTGTCTTTATGCACAAGGAAGGAGAAAACTGCCCTTCTGAAAGTTTCATTTCTATTATTCTTATATAACTCAAATATAAGTTAAATCCACATAATAATGAATTACAATATACACTTGGGGCCCATATTATGAAACTGATTGTTTCCATTAACTTGTAATGATATGAAATATTGAATATAACTTAGTCACCTGATTTAGCTGGATCTTGTCCTATATCAGACGGAGATTTTCCAAGTATTGTACTCATTTGGTGCTGACAACAAACCCTACCATTTCTTTTCAATGAAGAAACTAGTCAAAATTCTTATGTGTCTGATTTTATATTTTATATATTTTATATGTTTATATATTGGGACTGAATAAATGAGGAAAAATTGGAATTGATTTTAAAATATTTTGTTGACTTTAATATTCTTTCTTAAAGAACCTCATCTATATTCAACTCCAGTTCTGTAGCCTGAACTGTAGGTAATTCTAGAAGTAGTAACCTTGGCCAAGGTGCCTGGAAGGGGTTCGACATGTGTAACAAACAGTGGGTGCAGTTCTAAAAGCTAGAGTGGCCCAAATGGAGAACTAGAAATTAAATGCAGATAGATACCTTGGAGATGAATGTCCCCTTTTAAACTATTTTTATCATTTCGTTATTGAGTATTCTTCTGCATATAATAATGCTGAAATCCTGACGTCCATTCACCTCCAAAGAATGAGAAAATGATTATTTTCATTCTAATCATCCATACAGGTTAAACATCTTAGCCAATGTGACTTTCATAATGAAACTCACAGAATGATTAGGGTTTTGGCAGCCTCAGTCTTAGCAATATTAGTGTGGTTCCAGCAGTTAATACAGAGATGAAGCTATTCACGTCCGTGGATTTAAGTAACTCGTCAAAAGTCATACCATTGCTTAGAAGTAATCAGGAATAGCATTCAGGTTTATTGATCCCTGTTAAATCCCTGGAAGGAAAGGAAGGGTAGACAGATAGGCTAGGTCTTAGAGTAGGAAAATCCCAATGTCCCATGGTGCATCTGTACCCACCCATCCCACAGAAGACCTGGGCAGAGTGGAGTTGGCCAGTCTCCTAGATGCCCGAGCCATGCTATCCCCTGTGACTACTGAGGGCTCCCAGATAGAGAGGCTGCCATTTCTGTCATGGGGAATTGGAATCTGCTCCAGTCACCCATGATTACTGACCTTTGATGTCCAGAAGGACTCCTCAGGAGTGCAGCAGACAATGAGATGGCTGAGCTGCTCTGGGTGAGAGCCCTGCAATTTAACATGGGGTATAAGTCATTATCAGCAAAACCGGTCTCCTGGTATCAGAGCCAGGCCTTTTCTGCTCTTGGGCTCTCACTTGCACTTGTTGTCCAGGCCTTTGACTCACTGGGCCGCTCTCACTGCTGTGATCCCTTAAGGGTTGCAGCGCAGCCTGCCTGACAGTGGATGCTGCCAGACACAACGTTGCCCAGTCCTGAGCTCCAGCCCTGCCCTGGCCTCCTATTAGTCTGGTGCAGTCTCGCTCTCACACCTCACCAGCACCAACCTCCAGCTCACCAGACTCTATCTTACCTTTGGTTTTTCCTTCTCTAGGATGCCACAGCCATTACTGTCAAGACTGGGAACTACAGTCTTCTATCATCTACACCACCTGAGCCCTGATTCTGTTCATCTGTAGGCATGTTTTCCCCCTTTAGAAGCTTATATTTACGTAGACAAAATATCACACAAAATAAGGACCTTACACTAGTTGTCAAAATGGAGTGATAGGAACAATAACATTTCTAGAATTGCTGAGAAAGAGGTCAGGGTCAAAAAGAACATGGATTTCTAAATATTCCTCCCCAGAGGACGCTATGCTATATGGTGATACAGTAGTATCACCCCTCCTTTCTTCCCCTTAACTTTACTCTTCTTTCTTTTACTTCAATGACCTTATTATATTTTCCAGAAAAATACATGGAAAATAAAACTGTGCAAAATGCACTTGGACAAGAATTAACAGGGAACATACAGAAATAACTATTTATTTAAAAAAAAACAATTGATATGGATTGCTAAGTTATGGTCGATTTTTCTTCCCTTGAAAAATACCTACTTTTAATTTCAAGGTATATACGAATATCAGATCATTGTCATACACCTGAAAGCAATACAATGTTATGTGTCAGTTATATCTGAATAAATAAATAAGATTTGAAAAAAAAAGTTCTCTAAAATTAAAACTGTATAAAGAAAAAAATACCCACTTTTTAAAACAAATAATGTTATTAGTGTGATGATTACAGATCTGGAGAATAAAGTTCAATTATATACACTGATCTTCATTGTTTCTTTTTTCCCCCCAGGTGTTGCTGGTACCAATATTATAATAGGCATAATTGCTGGCACCATTTTAGTGCTGGCCCTCATATTAGGAATAACTGCATGGGGCTATAAGTAAGTGAAATGGCTCAAACTATACTTTAAAATATTTATCTAAATGAATTAAACATCTAGAAAGTTTTGTATCATTGGATAAATATACCTGCAGTGAAAATAAGTCTGGCTCAATATTCAATCAATGATTATTCTTGGCATGATTAGAGGTAATAATAATTTATCATTTTTTAGATTTTGAGATAACTCCCTTCTATTCTAAAAATACTGAGTATTTCTTAAAACCATTGCATGAAGTAAAATCAGTCTAAATCGTGTCTCATACAAAGGCCATGTTGGTTTGCTCTTTAGTGATGCAGGTTCTCTTGACTTAAACCCATTTACCCAAATCTAGGCAAGATAGTGAACTAGAGAGCATAGCGCTTTAATAACAAAGGTCATATCAACAAGAACAACAGCAGGATCTGCTCCTGAGTGCTTTCACTGTGGCCATGCATCCTGCGAAGAGCAAAACCTCTCCACAACCAGTATGAAGGAGGCATTGTTATTTGTTACATATGTGGGTGTTTTTGTGTGAAGAAAAAACTCTTCAGAGATATAATTTGTTAAAACTGAAATTCAACTGTAAGTTACAACTTTTAGAAACCTAATTCTTAAGCTTCAAAGTTCAACTTACAATTTTTTGGTTCTATTTATAAACTTGAAAAAGTTACACATTTTATAACTTTTGAATATTGGATCCCCTTAGCTAGGCATTTAGCTAAGTAAATGACTTCACACATTCCAAACTTATTTGTCTACTTAATATGTTCATTTCCCTTTTTAAGTACTTCAATCTTATGATGTGAAAAATTTCCTTAGTATTCAAATACGTATTTATGTTTAATAAAGTAAAACTTAAATGCGACGAATCTTAAGTTTTTTAAATATTTCAGGTTAAAATCATAGTCCTACTGATCTCTGAAACGTTGTATCAGGTCCCCAGGCTTGGGGTGTTTCTTCATTTGGAAAGAAGTCCTGCAAATTTTGCTAGACTTTCTGCGTATTAGCCCATTTTATAGTTTTTTTTTTTTTAATTCGTAGATCAAATTTGGCTTACTAAAAGACTTGGGAATTAGACTTTTTTAGACTTTAAAATTACCCCAAACCTTTCAATAAACTAGGCATTATATAATCATCTGTTGCTGTTGTTGTTATTATTATTATTCCCTGACATGGTTTTAAGCCAACTGAAATAACAGAAACCTCCTTAAAAGTGTTTATGGCTCTTGCTTGTTGTGAGATCAAAACCCTGAAAGTTTCTTTGGCTGAAAGGAGAGGGCAATTAGTTGACTGCCAGGATAAACTTTGTATGTTATAAGTATTAAAATGCAGAAAGACATTTGTGCAAGGTTGTATTAATGAATAGCACAGACAGCAGGGTAAAGTTTAGCGTAATGTAGTTAACGTGGCATAGCACAGCGAAGGAGGGCACAGCATAGTGGTAATGCTTTGCCCTAATTAAATGGGTACCTAGCTCTGTACCAGCTCATAGATACTCGGTACCTATATGCCTTTTTAATGTGCAGTTCGTTAGGCACATTGCATACTTACATTTGCACAGGCTGATTTCAGCATAGCATTTGGAGTATAAAATTACATGTCTAAAAGAAAGGCTTTTCTGTATATATATTGTTTGAGCTCTTCTCACACCTCAGGTGAATTAGCCCCATCTTGGAGTCACTTTATTTCCTTGACTTCCCTGACGCAAGACTTACGTAGTAATTGCCGTCACAGCCTTGCTGTTTTGAATTAGCTCAGCGGTTTCATTTGGTCACGTGAGAGGGAAAAGGCAAAATTGTTAGTTCTGTGGTGTGTGATTTTCTGCCACCTACTGATGCAAATTGATATTTCATGTTTACAATTTTGGAAAAAAATTACCCTTTCAGAAATATGAAACCTAAACATCTGCTCCTACTGCTAATGAAACTACCTGTGTCTGTTTGTTTTAATGATTAGAATGAAAAGTACTTCTTTCTGTGTATCATTTCTTAGTTTTATGATATTTAAGTGGTTTCACTTTTTTCATTTCTGAATGTATGTACTTTGCCGTTTATTAAGGAAAAAGACAAATCTTGTTCATACCACAGTATTCTCTTCATAAATAATTTGAACCTGACTGATGAAAGTTTTAATGTTACTAAATTTATTCAAATATGTGTAAAAATAGAATAAGGATGTAGAAGTTTTAATACAGGAATTAAATTCATGAACATGCTGTTTCACATATTCTATTTCAAATTCCAAAGTGAATTTAGGACCTGAGAACTCATTTTTTCATTAATCCTTCCAATTAAACTTTCTACCCCTTCTCCAAGCCTTGGGGGAATGGCAGGAATAGGAAATGAGGAATACTCATTTGGAACTGGTGGACCACTCAGGTAATCAGATTGAGAGAATAAAAAGTAAAACATGTTGAATAGAAAGATTTTGGCTTATTTTTCTCTTCTATCTTATGGTTTCAGGAATGAAAAATATTAAGTATCAAATTGGCACTTTTACTCTCATGAACTCATTATTAAATGAGATAGACAGTGCATGGAATAGATTGGCAGGTGAAAGTGCTACAAACGAAATCCATATGGAAACATTAGCCTTGATCTTGGAGGAAGGAGCCTACTGCTCAGTTGCTTGACCTTCCAACACGTCTTCAAAATATTAACACCTAATTAGGTCATGATAGAAAGTTTTAAATGGACTTTTTTGATTTAAAAGTTAAAAATCATTGGCACCTCACTACCACACTCTCTAGAACACATTTTTCTTTCAGAATGGTTTATTCTGAAACTAATGCAATTTTATTTTAGGAGATGGCCGAATAAAAAACAGAGACTTTGAACAAAGTGTTTCCAATGTAGCTTTCAGTGAAGCTTCAGTGAATAAGTAGTGATGACTTGGGAGGTCCATAACAGCTGTGAATTCTATTATTATTCTTGTGTATGATAAATTAATTACCTGTTTAGCTGTTATGATAACTAATTTATCATACACAAAATGTTCTTGTGTCCAGTTATGTTTTCCTATTTGAAATTCTTAGGAAGAGCTTAGTTTGGGGTATGTATTCCAAAAACAATGATTATAATTTTTATTTGTATGAAAGCATAGTTAATATATATAAGTAACTTGACTAATTTCCTTATTTAAATCAATGTACATGTCTGAAAACCTGTATTTGAAATAGGGTTGACTTTAGGATATTACTAAATGTTTAATATACAATTGACATTGAGGAAACAATTACTTTTTAATAACTGAAGCTTTATGCTTTTAAACAATGGTTACTTGAAGATATTGTCACTAACCCTTTGGTGTCACTTCCTTGAAAGATGAAGTGAAATTTGTGTGTGTGTGTGTGTGTGTGTGTATGTGTGTGTGTGAGAGAGGGAGACTGTGTTTTTATTCCCCATTTTAATTCTGCAATTAGAAATTCTAGTGGAGACCTTTCAACGAATGCTAGAGCTCTTATGTTTACTGGTCTCTCTTAATGTACTTTTGTAGGTAACTAATTCTCTCTCTCTCTCTCTCTCTCTCTCTCTTCTTGTCCATAAAAAGAAACTATCGAGAACAGAGGTATGTGATGAGAATAATCTGAACATAGAACTGAAAACTGAAAGGTTTAAATCCTGTTAGCATCTTTGGAATTCATACATACAGTTGTAAATTTTGTTTTTATGCTGTAGTGGTCATAAACTAATCTTGATTTTTCATGACCTTGAAATGATAATTTTAGTAATGTTGCTGTGGAGTGTATTAATTTAAAATAGATCTGTCATTATTTAGTTTTAATGGTTCTGTCATCCAACAATACTATAATTAATAGTTATTTGTGTTACTTTTATAGTAATATATATTTGGAGTTGATTTTTTTTTTCTACCTAAAACAAAATTCCTTTATGTTAAGATGTCACCTTTGTTTACATTGGTTGATTGGCTTTTGTTCATGTTTGTAACACCCTTATTACCTAACACTTTCTGAGGGAACTTATTTTTTGTTACTGTTGTTATATTAGTAACTTTCATTCATAAATGATAAATTTTATACAGGCACAGGGCTGTGGTCAGGAGAATGTCTTGGCATTTGAAGAGTCTGTTATATCGCTGCATAAGAAAATATTTTTTTGTATGGATTAGGTAATTGCACAGGTAGTGAAAGAAATAATTTGCATAGTCAGAATCTCTGATTGCCCAGTGCACTTTTTTTTTTTTTAATAAAAAAGCCCCTAAAGTCAGGCACTCCATTCATCATAACCTTAAAATCTGTGTTTAACCAGCAGTGTAAAAAGAGATACAAAGCATTCATGTAGTCCTGTAAGACTTGCCTATTTTTTCTAAATCTAAATTAGCCCATATTGGGGCACATCCTTCACTTTTTACATTTAAAAAATTACGAATACTATTAGCTATTGATATAAAAAATTAAAATATCCTGGAAATTGATAATCTAGACCACATCATATGGTACTAGTTTTGTACTCAGGATACCTATGCAGGTTCCTAACTTACTTACCTTTTCCAACTGTTCCATTAAATGCCTGAGGCACATTAGGAATAAGACATAATAAATGTGGTGACGCTTTTTCAGGACCCAGCCACGGCTTTAATTTTTTTTCAGAAACTAGAATTTTAAACTTGTTCTATTTCCTTCTGTGTTGTAATTTAAAATCGCTGTAAGGTTTTATCCGTAAGAGGTACCTACAGGGTACCCATTGAAATCCTGGTCAGTTAGCCATAGATATTAGAAAATATTGACCTTGCCCTGGAGTAACTGACTTCTACCATTAGTGGAGAAAGTAGAATTGAAAGAAAATTAATTAAATTTTAAAAAACCACAAAAAACTAGACTTCTTTGTGACCCGTTTTAAACTCTTGTGTCCAAAAAGACTGGAGAAGGGCTGGAGCTATTTGTGCTTTCTGTTGGGTAGAAGTTGATCAGCCATATCAGAAATGTAAGTTTGGTGGCTTTCTTCAGTGAAAAATAAAATTAGAATACCAAGATCAAAAACTGATGATTCAGCTCCATTTCCATAGGAATTAAGGCTATAATGTAATTTAATATTGCTGACTATATAAAAAGGAAAGCACAGTGTCACAAATATGTAACATAAGCAAAGCTGTTATGGTGCTCTAAGATGTGTTCTCACCAGGGATATTCTCCAGAATAAAGTAATTGCCCACACTACAAAAAATGACAAATATGTAAACCCGTGCACCAGTTTCCTATTCTAACTAAATATATGCATAGGTACAGTTAAGACAAATTTTATGCTAGAAATCTCTTTTTTGTGCCTGATGTAATTTCACGCCTCCTGGTATTACCGAGTCACCATTTCATCAGTCTGGCTACTCTTTTGGAGTCTAGTGCATATTTTGAGAGTTGTCACATTTCAGCAGATATAATTTTTTATATTTTGCTATGTTTCAGCACAACCTTTATTTGTTTATTTTTGCCCTTGTCCATAGCTAATGAATATCAGGGTTGTATAATAATTCTTAAAATGGAGAAACAGCAAGGAAGGGACTTTAGATCAGGAAGTTGTGAGTGTATAAATATCTTCTGAAGGATTGTCCTTTTTTAGAATATATGTTAGTGGTTACAGAGAATGTGGTAAGGCCAATGGACCAAAGCATGCATTAGGAAATTCACAATCTTGTGAAAATATCTGAAGATATTCCAATAAAGATGTGCCCGATTCCAAAAGGTGCTAGGGAGTAGAAATCAGAATTTTGAGTTTTCAGTTAAATTAAGTTTTCCTCTGAGGTTCCATGGTGGGAGGACCAATTGAAAAAGAATCAGAAATCCACTTGCTAGTATGTGGTCTTGGGAAACCACTTAAACTTTCCTTAACTCTAAAAACAGACAAAAGTTCTTTGTAATCTGTGAAGCATTCTAGTAAGGAAAGTTATTAATGTGTGGTCTCTGAAGACTTTGCATTTCTCTAATCTTCAAATGAAAGAGGTAGGTAGGTATGGCTGTCCTTAAAGAGGAAAGCAGCATTCCTGATATGAGTAAGGCCTGCACTTGCTGGTATGAAAGCATTGGTGAACATATGGGTTTGCTTTGACATTGAATGCATATTAAGTATGTAGCCACTTCTCAGATTCTTATTGATGATACAGTGGCTCAGAAATGCCAAATTGAACATAACTTTCAAATTACTGGAAACGTCAGGCAAGTAATCTGTGAAGAAACCTGATAACCTGGTAAATTTTCCCACCAGAGAATGTGTCCTCAAGGTTTTCTTTATATTGAAGGAATGTGTGATAGGTTTAATTTCATGTCTGGCAAAAAGATGAGAAGGAAACCCATTTTTTTTTTCTTTTTGTTTACCAACTGCCTAATAAAAAATAGAAGTCCGATTCTGGGGGACAGAATGCCATACATGAACGGTATCACTTTAAATTTGCCAGTGTCATCTTGTGAAGGGTAGGACCATGGGACTGTGGAGCCATGGAGAATTCTTAGATGTCATATAGTTGGAAGGACGGCTATTGATTATTTTCTTTAAAATCTCCAGGAACGAAGACCTCCATAATTGTTTTTCAGTTGATGCTATTGTTTTTATTTTACCATAATTGCTTTAGGACTTAGCAGCTGTGTACTTTGTAACAAGAATTAGAAATTTGAATTTTGGTTTTCAGGCAGGTTTGCAAATAGCAGTAGAATAAGAAAACATTCATTAAACTTGGATTTATAAAGCATCCACATTCCTCAGTGTTCTCTTCCTTTGTCTGAAATGAACATACATCATTGAACATACATAATGTGAATTAAAATAAATAATTAGATCATGTCTTCCTGATCCATACCTTAAGCAGACGCCCCCTTCCCCATTTCTTTTCTCTCTCTCACCTGTTTTAGCCACTTTACTTTCTGCTTGTGAACCTCCCTCCTTTTTTTTTCAAGCCTTTCTTAGTTTTTTTAAAAATATTATTATTATTCTTATTTCAGTGATACTCATGCATCTGTCAGTGTGACTTAGTACACATTACACAATATTTCTTCAAACAGAAAAGTAACAATTCCAATAGCAAGACAGCCCAGACACCTACAAAGCTTTGGAGAAATGGCTCCTTCAGCATTAAGGTTAAGACTTAATTGTTTTCATTGTAATCTCATTTTGAGTATGTGTAAGGATTATTAAGTTAAATATCATGGTTCAGTAGACTCTTTAAGGAAACATCAGACTTCCCTCATAACAGGAATCCTTTCTGAGGAAAAAGAATTTAGTTAAATAAGCTTTTATTTTCTTTTGGTCATTATTTGTAAAAGAAATTCATATATATGTCTAAAATATTTGCATGTGATATTGGAAATATGAGGTAATTATTCCATTATAAAACTTAGCATTGGTCAGGCCACCTAATTCCAAAATTCTATGAAACTAGCAAAATTTAGGAAGAAAACTATAAAGACTAGAAAAATAAATTCAATTTTAACAAATTTAAAGCTATTACTTAGTTGGTCATTTATGACCTTTTATAATAAATGATGAAATGGTATTTTATTGATCATGGGGACCTGATACTCTCTGTCTTCACTAAAGGTTAATCAAGAAGAAATAGGTTTGTAATAATATGTAATTGGATATTGAAAAAAGAATAAATTTCTGGACAGTGAAGGATGTTAAGTATTATTCTTAAAAGATCTTTAACAAAGTTCCTCATCTGTTATTAACATTTTAATGCATTTATTGTGTGAAGAAAGCTACATGCATTCCTTGTGGAATTTTACGAGAATGCAGAGTAGTTTCTTTATTTTGGAGACTTCACAGTAGAGATAGATAGGAATCTAATCTGCCTGGGATGATAAAAGCAAGGCTATACCCCCAGAGTTCATTGAACTTAAACTTTCCTTTCAACCCTTTGACTGAAGCCCGTAGTTTATGTTATGTTTAGCATTTAGGATGTTTGTGCACAGTGTAAAAGATGACCATGGACTGCAGAGAAATTACATTGAAGGACTGGTAAAATGTGCTTAGGTAAAACAAACAAACAAACAAATGAACAAAAAATTAAAAAAAATACACCATCCATTGCGAGAGGCAGTTCGTTTAATCCTGCAGTCTTAGCTAAGTGAGCCCTTGGTAAGTGCCCGAATGTCAGAACCATGTAAAGAGAGAGTAGTTTGGGGGATAGATTAATGGGCAAGATCAAGTGTAGTCAGAACTCGTCTTTATTTAATTTGAATTTAGTGAGGCACATCTCATCAGTTTATAAAGATTATCATTAAAGATAATAGTGACAGAAATGACTTGTTAGCCATAAGGATTCTTATTGGAAATGTAATGTTGATAGGATGTTCTTTGGCATTCTTTTATAAATATTAATATGATACAAAAGGGAATTTTCCTACCTGAGGCAACTTACAGAATTTTGATTTTATTGAGAGCATTTTTCAAAGAATTGATGAGTATTTTACTGACAGGAGGCAAGACAGAAAATATGATACCAGAGATTTAAAGATCTCTTGCATAAGCAGATATATCATTTGTCCTGTGTTATTAACACTATAAATATGGGGAAATTGCATTGTTTTTCCGATAAAATTAATGTTTCGTAATGCACTGGGAAAAAGAAAGATTACATTGCATTGTTTTTCCTATAAAATTAATGTTTCATAATACACTGGGAAAAAGAAAGATTACAATTATGAGCTGAAGTCACTTCAAGGGTTAAAAATATTTTGAAGGAATATGTATCAAAGAATTATAGGTAAAATCAATCTTACATACAAGTCTAATGAGAAATTTGATTTCTTTAAAGGGAAGGAGTAGATTTAATCACATAGATTAATATAGGTGCTTTGTATCAGTTGAACAATTTTATTTGTAGAGATGTGTGAATATATAGGATTGAAAGAGTATAGGAGAGCATATTCAGTCATTCGAAAGAATGAATGACCAAGCATTTCAAACATTTAAAACAATGTGGTAGTTGGCATAAGCAAGGAAACAGCTGAAACATTTTAGGGATTGAATTTAGCATCAGCAAGTAACCATGGCTAGTGTGGTAACTAAGGGAAAAATAAATAGGAAGAGGCGTTAGCAAATGTGGGCCTTTGTTGAAGACCTAGTTAAGTACAGCTCTGTTTAAAATTCTCAGTCCAACACTAGTTTGTACCACCTCCAACTTTAGTGCTGAATGGAACCAAATCAAGTCTGAGGTGCAATTGTTTGTCTGGGGGCCATGCACTGGCAAAGGATCAGATTAGCTTCCAAGGTAGGAGGGTTGACCAGGCAGTCCTATCTAAAGTTTTCTACCCTGTTCCCTTAGGAGAAGTAATAAAAATCTGTTCCAATCTTAGTTAATTCAAACGCAGAGTGAGTGGGGTCAGTAATAATGCAGACTATGTAGATTTTCCCTTGTTGGAGATGAAGAATGGAGGTCACCCACCAGCCACCTATAAATATCTTCCTCTAGTCTCAACAAGAATTCCGTTATTTTTTCAACCCTTTCTTCCTTTTGCTAAATTATCTTCCTTTACACATTCTAGTATGCAGTTATAGAATTACATTTTTGATTGCCCTTTGAATCTCTTTCAATTATATTTCTCCAAATTGAACAGAAAACTCGAATAAGAATTTATTTGGATTAAATTATAGAACATAGTTTAGACATCAATCAGTTCTTTTAAGACCAAATCAAGGTTACATTATATAATATTTAGAAATTATGAATAGTTTACTCACCACAGTGAGAAAAACGATGCCTTATATGGGCAAGGACTGTCTGTCTCAACATGTCTCCTTCAGCACCAGGTTTTTTTGTGTGTCTTTTTTTTTTTTTTCTTTTAAGACAAAACAGCAGTTCACATCTCTAAGTGTAATGAAGTTACAGTGAAAAACCTCATCTTTTCCTGTATTTCCCCTGAAGCAAGGATTTGTTCATCCAGACTGTAAAGACTTCAGTGATTGCATTTCTGACCTCTACAGTTAGAATGACTTTAACTTGTCACATTTATTAATAATCTTACATGTTGTTATAGACTTGATTCATGGAGCTCATTATCCCTACCTCTTTTTTCCTAAAATACTATTTGTATATGTCTGTGCTCATGTGTGTGTCTTGTTTTCTGACTCTGAAATGTTTATTATGCCTTAGACAGTTACCCCAGGGAGATTATGTAAAAGAGCCTGGAGATGGCGACTCTTTTTATAGCGACATTCCTCCTGGAGTGAGCACAAACTCAGCATCTAGTTCTAAGAAGAGGTCTGCTTTTCTGTCGCATTTTCAGATTTCTACCTGTTCCATCACACATTATTCCATTAGTCAGAACATTTCATTATTTTGCAGCAGGTTTGATTACTTCTTCCTTCTTTCTTGAATGTTAAAAAAAATAGTATCCTTTGTTCTTTGATTACTCTACTTCAAAATGCCATATGCTCAGAACCACTGGTTTAACAAATCAGGCCAGAAATCCAAACAAAACAAAACTAAGCAAATAACAACCCTAAATCGATATAGAAACCCCAGGGTTTTTCAATCTTGCTCTTATACTGCCTAAGAAACTACACATAGTATTTTATCGTATTTTAAATGGTGAGCTTTATGTCATGCTTGGTAGTCAAAGAAAAAGGTTACTGTCACGCTTCAATAAAAGCAGTTGTTAAAATAAATTGGTAATATAATGCTGCATTGACTATTTTTTTAATTTTAAATTTATCAGGCTAAGCTTGGTGTGAAAAAAAAAGATTGCTTCTCTGTGAATCATATATTTGAATATTATGATTTTGCCTTTCATTCCTGGAATGACTAATTCTAGAGTTTATAACTTAGAGCTTGGTTGCCAAATTAATTTAAGCATATTTAATGTTTGCCTGAGTTTTATAACAGTCCAAATGGGGTTAATATATTATTTATATGTCTTAAACTTGGATGCTGTATTCTTGCTCTAGGATCTTAAGGTGTATAAAACCATTTAAAATTCTGCATGCTTTATAACTGCTTAATAAAATAAGCTGACAGAAGAAGTAAATAGTTGGAATGTTTTAGGAAATGAGACCTACATTCACATTGAAAAAAGCTAAAATATTCCTGTGGAAGAGTTTCTTTAAACTTATTGGTAGGGGTGTAATGTATAGAAAAAAAGATTTGATAGCCCCCTGCATAACTTTGGGCGCAGTAGTTACTTTGTAGACTGAAAGGGAAATTGCTAGTTTATTGGGAAGAAACATGATCTCTTCTGGAGTTCTAAATACAGTAAATACTCTGTAAAAATTCTGCAGTGGATCTCACTCTTTATAAACATCAGGAAAAAGAATAGAAGGAATTAGTGAGATCTGGGAACTCTCTGTGGAACTGTCCTCAGCATGAAGGATGTTTTTACTCAAATAACATAGCTTAAAGCAAAAGTAAAATGATTAGTTTCTGCATAAGGAGTACAGTTCTATAGTAGGATGTTCAAAAATTTTATTATTTTAATTTATTGGGGAGTTTTTGGCTAAGAGAATAAGATTAACTTAAATTCTCTCACTATATAATTATTTTCTTGGTCAAATATTTAATTTTAAATTAAATAATATGGTAAAGAAGTGTAGAAATCAATGAATTCCAGCAGAATTTCTGTTGTTCTTTTGTACAAAATAGGAGTCATTCTATACTTAGCAAATGGTGTTGAAAAATCTAGGGAATTATTTCATAATTGTGCTAAGTTCCATTTATTTTCATTCATCAGTAGAAAGTTCCTTTTAAAATAGACATTGTTAGCAATTAACTGGTGTGATATGTGGAAAAGATTTAAAGTCCAGCGCTATTTTCTAAAGTACTTCAAGAAGAGCTTAAAATATCGATTTGAATCATTACCAGATTTTAGCAAAATCTCAATGGGTTTTGACTTTTAAACAGTTAAATATTGTACCAAATTATGTGACTCCTCCTAAGTATATGTAGTTTGTCAAAGTGCTTTTCTTATGTGGTACAAGGTGGGTATGTAAATTTTGCTTCTTGTAGACAATTTATTTAAAGATGGCAGGACACAAAGAGCAGAAGGTCTTAACGGTACATGGACTTTGTGAGAGACACCTCCATGATAAACATCTGACTCATTTCAGTTATTGGACAGTTAACCAACAGTGTCATGTTTGGGGGGAACATATTTGTGGAGAAAAATGCCAATTCTCAGAAAATAATTTTGTTGTTTAAGAAAACCTAAATATTACTTTGATAAAGGCAGGTTCAATTAAGCAAATCTTAATGAAATCTCTTGGAAGTCCATGTTCTCATAATATTTGAATGGAAGCCATTGCTTTACAATTAAGAAACATCTATGGTGGGACCCCATTATAACTCTGTTGTGTGGGTTATGTAACTGAAATATGTAGTGAATTTGCTGTATATGGTTCTTGGGAATGTAATTGGCTTGCCTCGCATCCTGATACTTTTCAATTACAAACTCTTGTAATGGGGTTCCATTGTATTTGACTTTTCTTAAATTGAATGTTGTGTAATTCTGCCTTCTTCATGAAGACTTTCATGTTCTCTTCATTCTTTCATTTCAGATTTTTTCTTTCTTGATTTATTTTAATGCACAGTAATGCTTAGAAATGTTGCTTACTGATTTCAAAACATTCATTTGATTATATTTTTGAACAGTATATATACATTTTCAATTTCAGGTCAAATGGACTCTCTCATTCTTGGAGTGAAAGGATTCCAGACACAAAACATATTTCGGACATCTGTGAAAATGGGCGACCTCGCAGTAACTCTTGGCAAGGTATATATAGGGCAGCATTCTGAACCCATCTGTCCACATAACCTAAAGTCTATATTTTGTGGTTCCTGGTTATAAAGACTTGTTCTTTTTTGTTAGGTCTTAAGCTCTTCTCCCAACAGAGAGGAGGGCATTTATTATGAGAGAATCCAGTTCTTTTTTCTTGGATGGGAAATGATGGGATTTGGTAGCACCAGCTCTGGACACATTGAGAAGGCTGCACAATGCTCTAAAGCCCTATGTTCTGGGCTGGTGCTGGATGGGAATTGCACCCACTTGAAATACCGTAAACACACAGCGATTGTTTTATTTATATTCAAATCTAGCCATAAACCATCTTTTTCAGGTAACCTGGGAGGCAACAGAAAGAAAATCAGAGGCAAAAGATTTAGACCTCGGTCTAATTCAACTGAGTAAGTCTGAACCTCTAATGGAAAAAGACACTCCAAGGTCCTGTGCAATTAGTGTGAAAAGTTAATTAACCAGATCATCAAAGAACTGTAAACCATGCCTCTTGGTCTTGGTTTTGTCTTTTTAATTCTTTTTTTTTGCCGTTTTAAAATTAACCATGGCTTTTCTCTTTTACATAGGCATCTCCGCAACTGTGCCCAAACCAATACTCCTTGATAGTGGGGGTCTCACCCTCGCTGCAGGCTTTGTCCTCCAGTAACCTGCCATTGTGGTGTTTCAGTTCCGTTTGAAGGGAATTTTGATAACATTCCTTTCTTCTCATCACCTGGGGGTCCAGCCATTTAGAGGGGTCACCCTTCCTCTTCCCAGTATTCACACAACCTAGAAGCATCAGGGGAAGATTCCCACTGTACTAGAGCATGAGAACTGCTCACAGTGTGAAACCACCGCTCCAAGGGCTTCATGGCTGCCATCTAAGCATTCTCTCAGACTACTGGAATATGGTTCCCTTTTAAATTTTCCTTCTGAGGACATTTAAAAGGGCATTTACCTAAACTTGCTCTTTAACGGAATCATTGTCACTAAATGCAACACTATCCATTTTAAATGATAGCCACACCTTTTTTTTTTAAAGTGGGGATAGGGTCAGCAGTTACATTTAAAGTCATTTATAATGAAGTAAACACCATACACTTTTTGTTTGTTTCTCCACTTAAGAAAGTTCAAGCAAAACCAAGCTTCCTGAAACCTTTATCTCCCTTCATGGAATAAAACACATCCTTAGTTTCCTTCTGGACCTGATTGCCACCTGGTTTTAATTAACTGTACTCTGTGCACCCACCTAAAAAATTATATGTATTTTTTACTTATTTCTCACTGCAGTGCTAGTGATGATTCCCTGCATCTCTATTGCTTCTTCATGCCTTAACACTTAAAAAAAATCTGAATAGCAGATATTTGTTAACCGCTTGTCAGAAACTCACGTTAGCTTTTCCATCATATACCCTGCCTTTTTCAGTCCAGGACAATAACATTGCCCTGGAATTTGTAGCTGCCTGCTGATGGTATTGTCTTGTAAGTGGCTTGTCCAAGTTTACTAGAGGATACTTTACCTTAGAAACAGTAGGTAGGTTCCAGTGATACCACTGCATGGTCCAGACTGGCATCATAGAACTCCATCACAAATAACTAATCCGTTAGAGTTTATCTTATACATCCCCAAAGCGCTTGAATGCTTTAGGGCTCATTGTGGATAAACTCTTCTTGGAATGTTGTTTGATTTGTTTTGCATGAGGTCACCTGGTAAGAGCTTCTTAGCTTATCTCAGTTGCTCACAAGAGTACAGGTAAAACTGCAGAATGTTCTTCAGAACTTCCTTTGTGTACTGTTTAGTGTTCTAACAGTATTTCCTATAACAAGGCTTTGAAAACTCTTAACAACAATCAAATATCCAATATTGTATTAAAGCTATGAGTTTAGGATCCAAGGAACACTTGGTGTTTAGCAACATTTTCTAGCATAATCACCTATTTTTTGAAAATAATTACATATCATGTAAACAATATTATGATACTATAGATAACCCCTTGAGAAATCTTGCCTGTGAGATAATTATTACATTTAATAAGACATTATAATGAAGTCATCTTTATGAAGAAGAAGTGTTCAGGACTCTCTCAGATTTTTCAGACTTTCATACTTGGTCACATGACTCATGTAACCTGAATGGAGCCAAGTCCGTGAAGCTGACCACTGTTCTCACATTCTCACTTACCTTATTGTTCGGACACTATGTTTTCTTTTGTTTTTCTTAAAAGAAATCCTAATACACAGCATATCAAGATTTATGTCGACAGGTTTTTAAAATACTTTCCATATTTGTTAAATAATCCCATTTGCTTCTGATACAGCGGTATCACTTGTGTAATTATAAGAGGAGCAGAATGACCACAGACAAACATCTCTTTAAAAATTTTTTTAGATAATGAGGTATTATCGGGTCCATTATTTCAACATTCCCTTTAGTATCTCATCATCCCAAAGGATGATGAAACATCGGGACATGAATGAAACCATGCCCCACAAATGCATACTCTGCTATAAAATGTCCTTGTTTATTGTACTGTTTTTCCACTCAAAGTTTTGCATCTTCCTCACTGTTGTACATGATGTAAAGAAAGTTTTTGGCTTAGACTTTGTATTATATATTGTGTTTTTACAGGAGGGAGCCCCAAGCACCTGAGCCTGGGCACTCCCTCGCCCAGACAGTCCCATCCCAAGGCATAAACCCAGGGGGCTCTGACAGCCCCCAGACAGGGAGTCTGGATCACAGGTCAGTCTCCACCTGCCCCTTCATTTTGGGCTGCCACTTAATCTGCCTCCAAGTCCCTTCCTTGGCTGAGAACAGGGTCATTTGATCTGTGACTGACCCCCAGCGTCTGCTCGGAGGTGGTCCTGGTCCAGCCAGCACCAGCTAATTTTCCTCTGCCTTTCCATCCTGGAGAACACAGAGAGCTCTCCTCTCCTGTCGAACGCATTTTTTTTTTTTTTGCATGTTGCGCTACAAGCCAAGTCAAGCCACGTAGGCAGATGTATCACAGTTTGATGAAATCCCATCACTCCAGTCGGCACTACCTAGAGATATTAGGAGGCCCACTGTGAAGACACTTTCATGGGCACATCCCCAGAGGGAACTACAGTTGAGAGCTCTCTTCAGTGACCTCTAGTGAAGTGATCACAGCTTTCTGAGATGTTCCCGGACACAGAGAGAAAGGTCCACCATGTGCAAGTCAGGCCATGTGGCTGTAGGTTTCCTGGAACATCCATGGCTGTCCCTTAGAGCTTCTGATATTGACAGTGAAAGGAACACATGTCTCCTCCTGGAAGTGGCCGACTGCCTGTGGGTGACTCAGTTTGCTGTGCGGCTGTGTTTCACCCGGTAACAGCTGCATGGGCTTTTTCTATGGTTTTCCCCAGGCCAGAGCATTCACTAGCCTTTATGTGTGGCTGCACTTGCTTTTTGACTTTTTTCTTTTTGTTCAGAGTCTCAGTGGAAATCTTTATGCAAGTTTTAATTGGCTATCTCTGTCAAAAGCACAAGTTGGCAATGATTGTGGCTAAAGGCAAAAAGAAGTGCGAGTTGTTCTCAAGTCAGGGGACACTGTCTTAGCAAAAATGGTCATGTAAGCATGAAAAACAATCAAGCCCTTCTCTCAGGAGGGAACTCGTGATGTTATTTTGTGGCGTACATTGGTTATAGCTAACAAGTTGAGGAATATCACTATGGAAAATAATCTAATTTTGTTTGTTTAACTGTGGAAATGTATCTTGATTTAAATGTATCTACTAACTAAAACTAAATATGGAGGAAAGAAGCAGACTTTAACCACAAAAAAAACAGTGTTTTTTATCATTTTCCCTGGTTTGTTTCCAAATAACTTTAAAAGTTTTATGGAGCTTGAATCTTTATTGTCTCTAGCATCTCTAGAAGTTACCTTTTAAGTGAGAAAACTCAGTAAAACCTCCAAATTCTTCCATGAGTGAATTTGTTGAAACTGTATTTATTTGACAAGGGCATATTCTACGAGAATGTGATTTTGCTTGGCTTCCAGGGTAAAAATCAAAAGAAACTGAAAAAAACCAAAAGAACCAAAAAACCCTTGCACTCATAATTTTACTGCCTTTAACATTTTTCTTTATGCAGTAATTCTGATGGAGACTTTGGCCAGATCCATCAGGGAAATGTTAACTAAGGTTGTTGTTATGCTCTGGCAGTCACTCCTTAGTGATCAGACACTTGGAAGGCAACCTGTGAGGGCCATTTCCTACTGGAAACATGAGTGTGGAGTGCCCAAAGGGGAGGAAGGGACATCGCAGCTGCACCTAAGTTACTAAACCCACCTTCAAGAACATGGAGGCCTCTTGGGACCACGCTTACTGTGCGCTGGGGCTCCAGGATCAGAAGAGTGGGTCCCTTTCTGCTCCTTATAGAGCCAGCTGGGTCACCTTTCTCGTTGACTCCAGCTTGGGATCTGCTCTCAGGAGTGAGACAGAGGCCGTGTAAAATCTTTCCTTTCATATTGGAAAGAGAACGTGGCCCCTTTTAATTGTTCTTGGGGTGTTATATTCCCAAACACCAGGTTGGAATTGCAGCCATCTGAATATTCTCAAAAAGGCCCATTATCATTTGAAAACCAAGAAGCCAAATGAGTGGTGGCCTGGAAAAAGCCACTTTGGAGGTGGGTGAATGGGACTGCTGACAGATCTCTGAGAGAGAGCTTCTGATCCACTTTGGGAAACCACTGGAAAGGCTTTCCCTGAAAGGTTGAATGCATTCTAGAATGCCTTGAGCCTTGTTGTAGCTGAGTTTATTGCCATGTCATTGTACAGACTGCCTCATAATCACCCAGCATCCATCCTGGTTTATTTGCCATAGTCATGAGTGTTTGGAGGGTGAAGAACATCCTTGCTAAGCTTGTGCTGTGTATTTTCAGATTTTCTATCTTGTTCTGCTTTCTTTGTTCCTTCCATTGCTTTCTGCAGGTATTTAAACCCATGGTTCAAAAGAGACTATAATGTAGCTAAGTGGGTAGAAGATGTGAATAAAAACACTGAAGGACCATACTTTAGGTATTTTATAAATTAATTTTATATCCTTTTCAAACTCTCCCAGCACATTCAAATACTGTAGTGTGACTGGCTCTCTATCTTGTATCCCCCAATACAAGTTCCCATAGGTGGAAAGGGTCCTTGTTTATTTGCTGCCTTTTGATCTCTGTTTTTGGCTTCGTGAGCAAGTCTAGTTCTTTTCTGAACGTTTCAAATGAAGCCATTTGAAAGGGTTGCCATTTAGTGCATGTCCCTATCCCCATCTTGAGCTTTTTAGTAGCTTTCTCTTCATGCTATGCTATGTAGTGTTCTATGGGCATGAAACATACTTTCCACTAATAAAGAAGCACTATTAACCTGAACAATTTAATTTCTGGAATCTAGCGGTTTCATA